TGCTTCCTTCTGCTTCAGCTAACTTCTACTTCCTGAAATAGCAGGGCAGAGACCACAGCAAATGTATCCCAAAAAAACCAGTGAACTTGGTCTTTAATATTCTGACAATGTGCCACCAGATATCCGTTCAGTATCCAAATGATTTTTTTTGTTTATTATTGAATGATTAAGCAACTTGCTATATGGCATGATTGTTGGTAATGCCATTTGCGTACTGCGTGTGACCATCTCCTTTCCTTCATGACCACTGTAGGCCCATCTTTGATGGCATGCATCATCTCAAAAAGCTCAATTAATCTCAAACTGGCTTCTTGAACATGACAAAGAATTCACTGGACTCCAACAACCACCAAAGTTTCCAGATCTAGGTCCACTCCAGAACCTTTGGGAGGAGGTGGAACATGGAGATTCACGTCATGGATGTTCAGCTGATAAATCTGCAGCAACTGCATTATATAATTTAATTTATATTATTGTATGATATTAGCTTTCATAATGTCATTTGATTTCATTTTGTAAATATAGTATTTTTTTCTTACAATGAAACATCGATCTTTAGAAGGAACCAAAGTTGTCCCTTCAGTTGACATTAGTACTATCAGGAGATGAACATTAGTTGTATAAAAAGCTGCAAAGCCCTTAGTACAAGTTTACATCAACACTTCATTAGAGTTGTAATTGTAGTTAAATACACTTCCTGCAAACGGCTGGGGTCATCTACTTCAGTCTCAGTGTCAGGTCTTCTGGCATGAGCAGCTGTGGCTCCGTGGGAGGAGCGGGTGTCTGACAAAAGTCAGTGGTACCATCTCGAATTTGCCACCACATGTTGAAGTTTCATTGGGCAAGACATCAAGTTCCTTGTAGTCTCCATGATCTGCAAATTGAAGAGTGTGGATGCGTGTATGAGTAGGTACATGGTGAAGTGGTTAGGAGTGGTCTAATTTAAATGTAAAAACACCACATAAAGTCCACTTACATTCACGCCAAAACGTTAAATTATTAAATATCAAAGCACTGGCTGCAGTAAACATTTCAGACACTGTTATGACTGAGCCATGTGTCCACGGTGAGGATAGTACTGTCTCATTAATTTTGTAACAAATGGTCTGGGGTATTCCCATGATCACATACTGAGACAGATGGTTTAACCCCGGCAATGCCAGTGATGCAAAGCCACAAGGTTCATATTACATGGGGAGGAACATCGTAAAACCCTTTTACATATTTGGCTCTTATTCGTTCACATCTTACCCCACATTAAAGCAACAGTTCTCCTGGAATAATTAGACAATGAATACAGAATAAATACTTTGATATTTATTAGGATAACCCCTGTCCTCACACAAGAAACCATCTTCTGGTGCACCAAACTAACACAACTGTGGCAACGGAAAGAACATGACTTCACAGCTCATATTTACCATGTAGACTTGAACATCGCAGCTAGTTGGCGTTTGCGGTTGAATGACACGAGTTCCTGTTCATTGGACAGACTGAGGTCAGGCGAAATAGACGCCATTAAAAGCCACAATAAATGTTGAGTCTGCATTTAGATTGATGAAGTGTGATTGAGGAAAGCCAGTGAAAGTGATCTCAGAAAAAAAATAATTCTTGACAGTTTGGATCCCGCACCTCTGGGATCTGTCTTTTAGATCCACGACAGTTTGAGCATGCTTGTGGCTCTTATATTGTTATGTGTCAGCATGATTTGATGATCCAAGCTCTGGCTTTAGGAAATTCAACCTCCAGTATTACCAGACTGGAATTAAAATGCAGGTTTGTTCAAGCCAGCAGTGGATCACTGGTTGATGGAAAGCTATTGATTGTCCAGTGATTGTGGCCTCCTGCACTTTGCCATTAGCCAGTGGGCCGGAATGAAAGAGTGGGTGTGTCTCTGTTGGGGGGGTGAGTGAGCCCTTTAGTAAATCACAAATGCATGAGGGCACACCCTTGACTGCAGTACTATAAAACAGATTAGAACGCTTTATGAATGTGTTAAAGCTGCTTCTCAAAAATGTGGTTTTCTCTCATAAACTTTTGGTTAGTAATGGTCAATTTTCAGGAATGAAGACAAGGTCTACACACGTGTTAAATACTATTAATAGATTTAACTCTTTAAAAGCTATTCCAAAAAACTGCGATGTGGTGGTGCGCAAAACCAGAGGGAGCCCGCCGGTGTGCATCAGGCAGCGATTATTAATCATCCACAGGTTGATTATAAGGGACGACGGCGCTGAGTGCGAGAGAGTAAGAAGGACACTGGTTGCAGGTCACAGTGCGGGGCAAAAAGGAACCACAGAATAAAGTGTGTGGAAACTGAACAACTGGTCTGGTGTGCAATATTGTGTGAGAGCTGCGGTAACAGTTTTGTTACAGTGGCGCCCAACGTGGGGCCACATACATGTTGGGCGCCACTGTAACAAAACTGCTGTTAGGTCACATGTTTTGACGTAATCTATGTAGATATGAAATCACATCTCTGCATTAGTTTTTTATTTTGAAAATACTTTGGGTTTTACACTGAAACTGTGTGTAATTTCCTGTCTAGCCCTATGTTAACTGGGGAAATCGTCGTGTTCCAGAAGCAGCACGTGGCAACAATAGAACCCGACCTTATCTTTAGCGGCCCGACGAGCCGCTTTTGGGACGCACCCAGAAATTTCCGCGTTGCTGCTGGTTTGAATCACCCCCATAGACTGTAATGGAAACTAATTTTAAGCAGTGCCGTTCTGCGCCACTGATGCTTCCAATGTGAAGTAGAGGGTACGCTCTTGCTCTCAGCAGCGTCGTCCTTTATAATCAGCGTGCCCGGTGAGCACTAGCAAGCTCCCTCTAGTCCCTTCCTTCTGCACATTGCCTCAAGCAAAGTATATTATTTTATTTAACACACTTTCCTCAATAAAGCAGTAACTACTTAATAGTAAACTAATTAAAGGCCACTTAAGGACACAAACAAAATACAATAGCTTCCCCTGCATCCTATGTATTCATTTAGATAGATTTCCAAAGTACATCTTAACTGCATTTGCTCTGTTTTATGTGCTCAAGCACAAAGAATTATTTATTTATTTATTTCATTACTGCCCCCACGCACCCATGCTATAATGAAAATATTTTCTCTCTTTAAAGGACTAAAATAGTTCTGCATTTTTAGTAACGTTTCAGAACAAAAACAGGGTGGAAGCACTTGAAAGGTGCTCTACTTTGAAAGGAAGAGTCTCTGAGTAGATGAGTGACAGTTTTAGGGCACTGAGCTCAGCAGTATGATCCAGTCTGGTGCTGCTTTTCAACCGCTGATGACTGTGCTGCTTCAGGGTGTGGCTGCTTGCAGGCTCTGGGCTCACTTCCACACTACCTCATCACCACGTACCATTCACCACCATTTTCCATAACACACACACATATACACTCATACAAAGAACCGAGTGTGTTTGTATATGACCTCAGCGCGTTATTAATGTAATGTATCCTCTGAGCTGCATTTAAAAATGTTTATTTTCTTGCCTCTTTGATGTGCACTAGAATGACTGTGGTTTGTAACTGTAATGTAATTCTGGGTCTTCAGCCAGATGTTTAAATCACTGCAAGAACACGATGTTGAGAACTAATTCATTTTATTTCACCAAGTGAAGCTACCTTCTTTGTGCAACCTTAATTAACAAGGTTTTAGATCAGGCTGTTATTAATACAACCATATTTTTGTATTTTATAAAACTCTAGCTAGGCCAAACAGATCTAGTAACAGTTTCACTAAAGTCAAATAAAAATTGATAGATAGGCTGTATCTAATTGTTTTTATGATTTTTTTGCTTATTTCCTCTTAGATTTCCAGAATTTAAGGTCTTATGATCTTTTTTAAATTAGATTAAAAAAAAAGAAAAGATAAAACAGTATACTTTATAAGGTCAGAACATTTAGTGTTTAATTGAGAACATTATTATGCTCAAGTGTAAATGCATCCAATAATTCAAGACGGCATCAGCTGAAGAACAATTTTTACACTTTAGAACATTTATTCTCGATGTTGATCGTGTCCATTTTAAATATCCAGTTGATGATGTTGCAAAAAGCTTCCAGAAATTAATTTGATGCTCCAAACCATTGGTTGTTTGACCAAAACATTTCAGTTTTGTCCACTGTTTCAACGCATCTATCCTGGAACCAGTGGATTAAGGACCAGATTAACTCAACAGTTTGGCTTGAAATAAAAACGACAAGAAAAAACCCATCCCAGCTGTCCAGTTGCTCGTCTGCCAGCTAATGTCTCCATCCATCAGTAAAGCGCTCCACCCTGTTCCACAGCCAGTGAAGCACTCCACAGCACATCAGCAAAACACAGCGGCCTGCTCCCTTCATGTCCATTTCTCTGTCTGTAGCAACGTGTTGCCATGACGATGACCTGTTGGCATCGATCTGCTGAGCAGGAAGCAGTACATTTTGGAAGGCTTGACTGTTGGGTTGTGACAAAACCTTTGACCATTGAAAGTATCGCTAAGGGCTCCAAATGTCTCATCTTGACCGGTGATTGGGGGGGGGGGACATGGAAACGCCTTATTTGGGCTCTCTCAGGATCTCTGCTGCATTCAGTTCAGCTACACTTGACCATCCCACTGGAGTTTGTCATCCTCTATGTATGTTTTTTAATTTCAGGTATCTAAATAAAATAAATGTTTATATAATACTTTAACTTCTGGCTAAAAACAAACGCTGCTTTGTTGTGCATAACAGGCTGATCCAAAACCAAACTGTTAGTGAGACTTCTCATCATCATAAATGAATGACACATTGTTCGTGTCCTCTGGGTGAGAAAGAGAGGGCATAATGAAATAACAGAGCTGCACTGTCTAACACAAAACTTAGAGCAGAAATGTCCTTTTATGGAGAATCTTCTTTAGGGTAATATTTATTTGACAGTATAAGTCTTTCTTGGAAAGAAATCCACTGAATCAAACTATTCTCCTCCTGTCCTGTCTCCCTTCCTCCCACCTTTGTCCTTACAGAGCGACCGGCTTCTGATCAAAGGAGGGAGAATTGTGAACGATGACCAGTCCTTCAATGCTGATATCTACATGGAGGATGGCCTCATTAAGTAAGTCCTCCACTATTATTCTTTCCCTATTCTTTCCCTTTTTATTCTCCAATTATCCTCCAATTAGTTTAAAATGCTACCCACATGTGGTTGCTTGGATAATTCAAAAATTTCAGTTAAAGGAGCAATATGTAAGAATTCTGCAGTGACATAATCACAAAACACCCAAAAGTCTCAATCATGCACGAAGGAAGGTGATACTTGGACAGTTTTTATTCTCAGCTGGCTGGAAGGTTTTTCTCCTTTCAAAAAATCTAAAGAGGGACATAGTGATTGTTTACAATGCTTGAGGCCGTGAGGTTGCCGAGTCTACGCTGAGCTAACCAGCATTTATAAATTGATGCTGGCAGTCAAAAAGCTCCAGAGTTGTTTAAGGAACCAAAGCCAGTGAACAGGAGTGACCCAGACCCATTTCTTGTGCCCCTAAGAAGGCACAGCATTTTTTTGTTTTACTCTATTATTGGGTAAAGAAGGCTCGAGACTGATGTGAGCTAACAATGCTAACAGTGAATTAGAAGCAAGTAATTGGGTCTAAAAGCATCTCAAGCTACTTTTGAAATCAGCAACAACTAGATTTTACAATGAAATGTGTGTGAAGTGAATAATGACTAATTCAGAACTATACCAGCAAGCCAACAGCAAGACGGCAAACAACCACACTTTCTCTAATGCTGAATATATATTACCGTAATTAGTGTAGTAAGTACTCCCTACCGTAAAACACCCAAGACTGCTAACACCAGATATGATAATGTATTTATCTATGGATAAAATTACTGTTTACTATGACTTGTCTTCACTTGTCAACTGGTGCTGATCTGTAACTGGCAACAACCATGAAACTCACAGAACAGCAGTGAGAAAGGAAATATTTGTTTATAAAAATGGGCTGCAGTAACCAGATTTGATCACCAGATGTCATTCTTTCATTTTGCTCCATTAGGAAATTCCTCTGAAATCATACTGAAGTAAACAAAGTGCAGAGTCAATGAACCTTAAAGCCTCATGGGACAAATTTGGTTCTTGCCTTTGTTTGTGGTTAAAGGCTGTTTAATCTTCTGCCTGAATGAAGGATGGTGAATCGTTTATAAGCTTCATGAAATGGGATCTGCCAGGAGTGGCGAACTGTCCATCGGAGGCACCGGCCACTACCCCCCCCCCCACCCACCCACTCCTCACCCCCCAGTCCGACCCGGTCTGTCAGTATTTGATCTGGTTCTATTTTTGCTGTTCTAAATGTTTTCTAAAGAAAGGAAGCTGCTGTGTTTTCTAATCATTTGTTGCAGCGCCTTCTCAGAGCAGTTTCCATACCAGACAGTTGTGGAAAACTGTCAGGAAACTCTCTACCTCATAAATTAAAACAACAGCAATGAGAATGTTTTTTTAATCATTCTCTTCATAAACTGAATCCATTTGTTAGCCTTGGTAATGGTGCTAGCTGAGTTTGGGGTCCACGGAAAGTCATTGGACTTTCGGGTAATCACCTAACCCAGAGTAACTTGATTGTTGAATAAATTAAAGTATAATCTTCTCCCCTCTACACTAGGCTGGAGGGACTGGAAGAGTTGCAGTCCTTTTTTCTTTGTATCCCAGGACTCTTTGTCCTCTTACTGAGGAACCCAGGGAGTGTAACCCATAGAAAGGCTGGTGTTGCATAACAAACACCCAGCCTGTCTGGCTTTCCTCCTCAATAAAGTCTGAACAAACAGGATTTTCTGTTTTAACAGGCTTTATAAATGTTAATGCATTGTGAATATGTTCTGCTTCAGACTTGGTCGATTTGTCTTTGGAGGTCATAAAGAATTTATTATTACTAGCTGCCAAATGGTGAAAGGAAAATATGTTTCTGTTTGTTTGTATGTGTCATGGACGTAATTTTCACTTTAGAAGTGGGGGGGGGGGGGGGCACGGGGGGACGGGACGGGGTATCTTTACAGTATGCTCTAATGGGAAACAGGCTTCAACACAAATGGTTGTTTTCCGCTTGGTCCTAGAGCTCAACCAGTGTCAATTTAATATAGCTTAATATTGTTTTTGGATGGTAAAAAGTGCAGGGGTCAAAACTTGACTTTGGAAAAAGTGGGGGGGACATGCCCCCCCCCCCCCCCCCCCAAATTACGTCAATGGTATGTGTTAATGAAACTCCCAGAAATGAATTACTACATATTCATCATCAGTTAGTTAATATTCAACATCAATCTCAAGGTGTCCACAGCTAATTAACATTTTAACAAGAAAATAATTCTGTAGATTAAATTTAAGACAAAATATTTGATTCAAACAAAATTTATAATTAAATGAGAAGGAATGAAATTTGTACTGTTGTACATTTCTAATATTTAGGATCCTAATCATGAATGTGTGGCCATGTCGTTTCTCATTTCCAGGCAGATCGGCGACAACCTGATCGTTCCAGGTGGCGTTAAAACCATCGAGGCCAACGGGAAGATGGTGATCCCCGGTGGTATTGACATCCACACCCGCTTCCAGAAGCCATACCGTGGAACCACAGCTCTGGATGACTTTGCTCAGGGAACTAAGTCTGCCCTTGCTGGTGGCACCACCATGATTGGTAGGAGCTGCAGGAAAACACACCCACACATGTGACATTGGCTGCTGGCTTAAACGCCAGTTTGTGGGAGGGTTGGTGCTCAAATAGAAGACAACAGAAGGGGAAGATGGGTCTCTGTTTTGGGCAACTATCCAAAAAAAAAAGCCACACAAAAGGCCAAATGTAAGGTAGTAAAAAAAAGTACGGCACCATTCAGTAAGATTCTGATTTTACCTTTGACATGTTGGTACTCATCACACAGTATAAGGTTTAAATAATAACCACAAACTTTCTGTAGCCTGATTTTGTTGGAACGTTTGCCAGCGTGGCTCTGCCCTACTAAAGAAAGCTCTATTCATGAACTTCATTCACAAAGGGATTATAATCCAGGGGGGTTGGTGTGTGTGAAAGTGGGTCCCACTCTGTTTATTGTGTACTAGATATTTGAACAATATTAGTTGTTAAAAGTGGTTGAGTTGGTCATCGGGTGGCAGTTCTGGTCTGTTGTCTGTGTAATCAATGTGTTGTCTGTTTTCAGTGGGGTCCTCATCAGCATAAGCAGATTAGAATGTCTTTAATGAGATAAAGAGGCCAGTTAGGTGGGGAACCAGCAGGCAGCCTTATGTTATAATAGCTGAATACGATGGATTATGATACTTAATGCATATGGAGACTGTTGTTTACAGTAGGATTGTGCCAGCCATGAGTCATTTAATTGACAGCTGAGACAAAAATTGACAATATCTGCTCAGAAAAAATAATTATGTAATCTCAACTTTTAAACACACTCAGAAAATTATGCAAATCTTCATTTAATCTTGGAATGCATTGCAAGTGGCAGGCTTGCAAAGGGGCAAATTGTAAATGCCAGCAAAACAGTTGAGTGAGCTTGAACTTTTTCATGGGCATCTGCAGACGTGACATCTAATGCGATTTATCCCGACTGACACTGTCTGAGCGTTGCAACAACCCTGACAGCTGATTATGCAGGATACGCAGTACACAGAGGAACAAAAGAAGCAAAACCAGTAGATTGAACTTCGAATGATAGACATTTGTCTAAATCTTCTTTTGATTTCACCTGTCACACCTTGTCTTTGCCATCCCTTTGCCCATCAATCCTGCTACCCGCTCTCGTCTACCATCCATCCATCTCCAACAGTGGATCATGTGTTCCCGGTGCCTGGCAGCAGCCTGATGGAGGCCTACGACCAGTGGAAGCAGTGGGCAGATGAGAAAGCCTGTTGCGATTACTCGCTCCATGTGGACATCACCCACTGGGATGACACCGTAAAGCAGGAGGTGGATCATCTCGTTAAGGAGAAAGGTAGGCCAAGTGGCAAGACAGGAATGTCATGTCTGCTTTTGAGTTTTCTACTTTTGGATGGATGGAAAAACACCTAAAACACAGTTTGCATGGGCCAAAATCTGCATCTTCATGTTTATTAATCAGTGGAAACATTTAGAGCAACATAATTCTCAAAATAAGAGATTTGAGTTAAAGATTTGCAATGTGTGTGTGTGTGTGTGTGTGTGTGTGTTACCAATATATATTATGAATGGATGAATTTTATTGATTCAAGATGGCTGCCCGGACTAATCAACCTTATCAAACACAAAGATGACTAAAACTTTATTGTGTTCACAGATAATGAGCTACGATTCTGTATTATGGTTGCTCTGAGTCATTCTCTATAATTTCTTGAAATAAAATAATTATTTTTATAAAAGGTAACAGGTGATATTCATCTCCTCAGACTGTTAATCCCTCTTTTTCTTAATAGGTGTGAACTCATTCCAGGTCTACATGGCCTATGAGGATTACTGCCAGATGACCAACAGTGAGGTATTTCAACTTCAGAACAATTTGCGCCTTAAGCAAATCTCAAGCAGAAAAATGCATATTTTAATCCTTAAATGTTTATGTTTATGTTTATTTATTTGGCCGACGCTTTATATCCAAAGCGACTTACAATTTATAACCTATGAGGCATGTTGTGATCTGTAAATGACAGCAGTAGCTCAGGAGGTCGAGCTGGCACTTCAGTAATTGGAAGGTTGCAGGTTAAATCCCAGCTTCCACCAGAGAATAGTGCTTTTGTGTCCTTGGGCAAGACACTTAACCCGCCTTGCTATCTGGTGGTGGTTGGAGGGACTGTTGGTGCCAGTGAATGGCAGGCCTCGCCTCTGTCAGTGCACCCCAGGGCAGCTGTGGCTACATCATAGCTCATCCCCACCAGCGTGTGAATGTGTGTGTGAATGACTGATTGTGTTGCGAAGCACCTTGGGGGGGTTGTAGAACCCTAAGAAGGTGCTATACAAATACAGGCCATTTACTTAACTTATTTTTCATTTTTAAAAGACACGTTGGCTGTACTGCATTTGCACTATTAATTTGAGTCAGCATTGCATAAAAAACAACAAATTTATTTCTAGTATTGAGATTACAGCCATGACATTTTCATGTGATTTATCTTGTTTTTAATTGAGCAAAGATTGTGCATTGTCCTTATGTGCATTAGAAGAGTCACTGTTATCCCTAATGTGTCTCAATACAGTCCGGATGATTCTGTTCAAAACAAACCCAAGCCACTAAAAATGTTAAAAGGTGATTAGTCTGCATTAACAGCCTGTGATGGCAGGCCAAATCATGCTATTCTTGGGTTGAGGGCTTCATATTGCTTCTCCAAAGTCAACAAATAGCTCTCAGTTCTCTTTTGGAAATCCTCGCAATAAGATAATTGATTCCTTTCAACTTAGACCTGATGCAATTTACATAGTCTTTGTTGGGATGTTAACTTTTATACATTTTTTTAAATATTATTTAATAAAAGTGTGTTTTGTGGATTTGGAGAAGGCGTTCAACCGTGTCCCTCGGGGAGCCCTGTAGAGGGGTACTCTGGGAGTATGGGGTACAAAGCCCCTTGTTACAGGCTGTTAGGTCTCTGACCGGTGTCGGAGCTTGGTTCGAATAGCTGGCCGTAATTTGGGTTTATTGCCAGTTAGCGTTAGACTCCACCAAGAATGCCCTTTGTCACCAATTCTGTTCAAATCTTTTATGAACAGGATTTCTACGTGAAGCTGAGGTGTTGAAGGATCTGTTTTGGTTCCACACAGTCTCTGCTTTATGCAGACGATGTGTTTCTGTTGGCTTCATCAGTACGTGATCTTTGCTGGAGTGTGGTGCAGTGCCTCCTCAACACAGGCTCAGGCGTGGCGCTGTGCCACGGCTACAGAAGTGCCCCATCCCGCGAGTCACACAGAGCCGAAACATCCCCTGCTTGAAAAGGAAGGCCCAGGACATGCTGGAGGGACGTTATGTCTCTCAGCTGGCCAGGAACGCCATCGGGTTTTCCCGGAGGAGCTGGTCCAAGTGGCTGGGGAGAGGGAAGTCTGGGCCTCTCTGCTTAGGCTGCTGCCCCCGCAACCCAACTCCGGATTAACGGCCGGAAATGTATGAATGGATGGAGAATAAAAGCGTGCTAGATTTATTTATTATTAGTTTTTTTGTTTGTAAACAACAAACTAAAGTATTTTTATGTTTTTCAATATCGTTTATGAGGTCCTACTGATTGCAAATCCCTAGGAGAAACTGAAAATGCACGTAAAAAATCCTTGAATCTCAGGGTTTAAATGAAGCTCGTAATGTACCTTATGTAGAAATGAAAATGAACATTTTGCTATTATCTTGTGATTAAGACCATGTTAAAGCATCCACAAAGGAGATATTTGCCAAGCAGCACCAAAAGAGCCACAGGAGGATAGAAGAAGTTCAAAGAGTTGAAACTGGTTTTTCAGGCAGTCCTGGTTGATTTTGTTTTTAGATGAACACACGAGGCAGCTCAAATAGTCCCACTTGAAAACTGCCTCGCAATAATGAACAGCAACAACTGCAGCTCATCCTGCATGAGCTTCTCCGTTTCTGGAGACCACACACGCTAATTGTAGTGTGTCATGGTAAATTGTGGGCTTCTTTTAAATTGTGAGCTGGGATTGTAAAAGTCATGTCTAGTAGTTGTCTAAACACAAAGAAGTAAATCAGCATCCGTCTCTCTCTCTCTCTCTCTCTCTCTCTCTCTCTCTCTCTCTCTCTCTCTCTCTCTCTTTCTCTCCTGCAGCTCTATGAGATCTTTACCTTCTTAGCAGAGAGGGGCGGAATCGCTCAGATCCACGCTGAAAATGGCGAGATCATCTCGAAGGTAACAGTAAATGTTCCCTATCCTCTTTATTGCACTCTGTGATGTGTTTATGTTGTAGGTGATTCATTAAACTTTAGTTTGCATTGTTTTCTTTACCTTATAACTTTGCAGACTCAGACTAAACACTGTGTGGGTTTAGATTATACAAAACCGGACCGTGTGCAGACTAATTAAATTGAATCAGTTCTTGGTAAAAGTAAGTGACTAAATCATGTCTGGTTTCTATATGTGTGTCAAGTCTGATTCATTCTAAACCCAACTGAAGCTTTTACTTTGAAGGAGGTTGATTTGTGTCAGCTGGAAGGTTAACTAGAATATTTCCAGTTCTGGCTTTAATCCTCTTGAGGAAAGCACTTGTTTTGATATGTATGTTTAAATCTTCTGATCACCAGGACTATGTGTTTAAACTTAACTATGAGCGGTTCCTTCTACCGTACCTGGAGCTGATCAGAGTTTTTCTCCATAAGTACAAACTTTGAGATGTAGTTCTAAATTCTAGCTTATTCTGTCCCATTTTCTGTGAAGGCTTTTTGACCATTTGTTTTGCAAAGTTTATATATCCTTTCATTGTAGAAAAACTGGAAACAAAGCAAGCAGCCAGAAACGTGTTAAACTCCAAACCAAAGAGTAAATCAAAGTGTGTCCTTTCGTTTAGACCGGTCCCTCTGGGCTACAGCATTAACCCTTTGATGCATGAATTACGAAATCTTCAACCATGATTTTTTTAACAATTTTTTTCATTCATCTTTAGGTGTGAATGAAACAAATTTTATATTTACATATTTTTTGTAAAATTTAATTTACAAATAATTTATTACATGTCCACCTCAGTGGACAGTGTGCAATCTGAACATGAAATATGTTGGCTTGACTTACTGAAGTACAAATGGAGAGGTTCAAATGCAATAAAGTCTTCAACAGCTGTACTTAATAGCAAAAATAAATAAATAAAAATTTTAAGTACCTGTCCACTGTAGTGACCATTTTGCATCAAAGGGTTAAAAGTTTTTCAAATTGATTTATTGTAGGTTATGTTTTGTCCACATTCCACCCTTTTAATAAAGAGCAAGTTCATGGATAAACAATGTTTTACTTGTTATTTGTGAAATACAATTGGTTACCTTGAGTTTAGCAAGCAGCTAAACGTGAAAACAGTCTTCTACTCCCATTTCTGGCATTAGCTGATAGAAGATAGCCAGGGAAACATTCAAATTTGAAAAACTTGTCATTTTTAGGTCAAATAGAAAATTTGCATTCATAGACTCAGCCATCTTGGTTCACGACAGCAAAAGGCTGTGCTGAGTTTTGCAGCCAGGAGAGAGCAGAATGTGTTTCGTTTTTAGAAGCTATCCGTTAGCATTAGCAGCCCCACAACATGGCAGAACTCCTTCAATCTTGTGGTTTTTGTTGAGATAAAACATCAACGTTGCAAAGCAAACAAAGTCAGCGGCAGAGTCGTGTTGCTGTTGGCCAATCAGAGTAGAGATGTTTGAATATCGTGAATAATAATGATTAAGACTACAAATCCTGTTGTTTTCCATCCTCCATTACTCCAGCTAAATTCTAATTCCTGAAACAGGAGCGCCAGAGCATTTTCCCACAAAAAACAACTCACAAGGCATTTATTCATACAAGAGACCTCATAAAATGTGCTGCAATGACAAATGAATGAGAACTTTAAATAATGTATTTGTTAGTTGACAGACAGATGTTAGAAACAGCATGCATTTGCGTAGATCTGCAAAGGAAAAAATGTGAGTTAGCATATACAGGTATTAGGGAAAAACGGGTTGTTGCAGGCAGAAACTGTGATGTGAAAAATAAAAGGTTTTATTATATATAATAAAAAAAATAGAGAAACATTTGTATGCTACATTTTTTGTTGACTACAATTCATTTGCATTATTTGGATTAACTGATCAGCTCAACCACCTACTTGTGATTTTTGGGGGGGATTAAATATGGCAGTTTTAGTCTTCCACACTGTAATTATAAAAAAGAAGATTAAACTGTTTTGGCAGCTGCTACGTCTTCTTTATACAGGAAATGGTTTGATGGCATCACTGCTAAAGTTTTCAAAGCCTGAAGCAAAATTTTTACCTTTGAGTGTGTTTTTTAAAGGATGCTACACACACATCATGCTCCTATTTCATGCATCCCAGTTTTTTTCATTGTTTTATGTAAATTCTGATTGAAATGAAGATTCTTGTGAACCATGACCATCAGCTTAACATCTGCTTGAACATTTACAGGATGCAAAGATTTTCTACATATGTATTAAGTGAGCAGATAACCTATGCATGTGTTTGTTCAAAAGGAGCAAAGCCGGATGTTGCAGATAGGCATAACTGGACCAGAGGGCCATGTGCTGAGCAGGCCAGAAGAGGTGAAACATTCAAACTCTATTTAGATACCTACAGAATATAATTTAATATGAGTAAAAAGAGAATAATGACATTTACATTATGTTTGCATAAGCTTTTTAATATAGTAAATATTTTTTCTTGCTGGCCTGAACACACACATACACACACACACGCACACACACACACACGCACACACACGCGCGCACGCACACACACACACACACGCACACACATCTTGGTCTCATTACACACGTGGGGTTTTAAACATACTGGAGGTCTTGCATGACAATCGCTTGGTTCCACCAGTTGTTGCTGCTGACGTTTCTTCACAAACAGAAAAAAAAATTAAAACCATATTTTCAACGTTGCTACTTATTTTTGTTTGACAGTGGTTTTCCATTCTGCAGAACAATTAGGTGATGTTAACACACCAGTACTATAATGTCGTCCACTAAATGGGTCTGTAAGGAACTGAAATCTTGTTAAACATAATGCAATTAGACAGAGGCAGAGCAGGGTTATTATCACTATTATTTTTTATTAGTGTCTAATGCCCCATTTAGTTTTGAGTTAGTTTTTTTTTTTTACCTTGTCTGAACTCACTGACAAAAATAACATTATTTTCCAGTGTTTCGGATGATTTCTTCATTTTAAAGAGTGGAAAATATGACCTTCGTTTTCTGTAAAATGAGACAGTTCCATCCTTCCATTTTCTGAACCCGCTTGTCCACGTAAGGTCGGGGGTGGGGGGTGGGGTGGGGGGGTGGGGTGGGGGGTGGGGTGGGGGGGTTGGGCTCTCTCCAGCGGTCAATGGGCAATCAGGCGGGGTACACCCTGGACAGAGAGCCAGTCCATTGCAGGGCATGAGACAGTTTCTTTTACAATAATCAACACTGAAAATGTGTTCAGAAATGTCCAATTTGTTTACATCTTTTTAATAAATTAGTCCCAGAAATGCAAAACTCTCTAAAGTACATTTTCCAGTTATGATGTCTCTTTTGCAGCTGGAGGCCGAAGCCGTATTTCGTGCTGTAACCATCGCCAGCCAAACCAACTGTCCTCTCTATGTGACCCGAGTCATGAGCAAGAGCGCTGCTGACATCATCTCACAGGCGCGGAAAAAAGGTAACAGGAAGTAGTTCGAAATGCATTATTCAGAAAAGCAATCACTTTTATAAGAGCACTGATTAGAAATGAAGGAGGTTTAGATACTTTTAGAGAAAATTCCCTTCAGGGACTTTTGTCTTTTTGCTTTAATCATAATCTTTAAAACAATTTCCAAGGACAATGCAAAATACATGTGTGTGCATTCATGACTATGTTGTATTTAATGTAAATTTCAGTGCTAGTCAAATTTTGGAGGATAAACTGTTAGTCACAGGGATAGCTTACAGATGTAGGGACGAAATGGAAAACAAAGTCTCCATTGTTAGTATCACCTCCAACTTCATCATGTAGTCATTTGTTTGTGGCTCAGTTTAATTTAATTTAGTTAATTTATGTGGTGCCAATTCACAACAAAAGTCATCTCAGGAGACGTTACAAAGAAAGTCAATGGCTTCAAATTCAAATGTGATAAAGCATTAATGAGTTTGCCTTTCTAACAGCAAGAAAACACAAAAACAAAACAGATGTGAGCTGTAAGGCCAAGATGGATTGGGAAATGAAATAGAATGAAAGGGCAGAAGAAGAAAGTGTGTTTGGTTGTTACTGGTGAAAGGCGACTTTTGAGGTTTAAACAGTCAGAGTGTGCTGACCTCAGATTACCATCTCTGTGCTTCATATGCATTCTTCAAAGGCCTTTGGATCGGGAACATTTTTGCTTGGATATTTTGATATTTACTTCTAAACCAGAAAATACAATCAAGGTCACGAGAGGAAGTGTGTGTGTGTGTGTGTGTGTGTGTGTGTGCGGTGGTGGTGGTGGTGGTGGTGGTGGGGGGGGGGGGGGTAGTCAAACCTTGATGATCATTAGAAATGAAGCCAAAAAAATTGACTTCATTTTCTTCGTGCAAACTTTTTAAAGTTATTGATCAGCCTGGTGACAGACCAGTCAGGTTTACCTTTAACCCACGATCATGACAGTAGTGTGCACAATGCTAAGTAGATCATCCCCATCCTAGACAGACTAACGGAGGCAGCAACATTACTAATAAATAAGCATAAGCAAAATAATATTTTTGTTGATAGAAAAACTAACAGAGTTCACCAGTGAGCAATGAGAACAAAAGAAGCAGAAAACGAATCACTAGTTGCTCCAGTTTTCAAACTAGCTGGCTTCAGCATCACTGTGTTGTACGGCAGCTGCCGCACCTCCTATCAAAGTCTCTGCAGCGAAGTGTGAGCACCTGTCCTTCCACCTGCTTTTTCAGTCTCCTGTCCTGAAGGAGAATGAGCCTCCAGGCCAGAACCAGCAGACTAAAGCCTATAGTTCATACTTCTCCATCAGCCAGTTTGCATTTACACGCACGTGTGTTGATGGAGACATTTTTCTTTTATGCTTCTCTGTTGGTGTGTCAGTATTGTGAAGGAATGCTCTGCCAAGAAAATAGAGGGCATAGTGTTTTTCTGGGGAATGCTGGCATCATTGTAGTCATGTCTCTAGTGTGTCGACATTGTGTTTATGTATTTCAGAGGCATTTTAACATGGACACATTTATCCCTCATTGTCCATCACCTCATTCTCCATCTATCACCACCTCCAAACCCATGTTTACCATAATTACATGACACAAATCAAACGTCTGCTGCAAATCTTTGTACTCCTGACACAAAATAGCTTTTGTTCACTTTAACTGTTATTTCCTCCCTCAAACTCTACATCTCAACTGTTTGTTTTGTCATTTTCATTATCCAATCTCTCCTGAGTGGTTTATATAGTCTCTAACTTTTTCCACAAGACATGCTTGAATCTGCTTTGTGTCTGCTGCTAGATATCTTTCCCTCAGTTATTATAATTTTTTTTGAGGGGCAATGGTGGTGCTGTTGATGAAGTTAAAAAACAGCAACCTGACCAATCACAGGCTTGCGGTCTTCGTCACTTTCAACTGTCATTTAGAAAAGTGGGCTCTACTCTATGGAGCTAGGATTGGGACAATGTTCAATGTAACTTGTACCAAGTTTTGTAACTTGGAACATGTTTCATGACACGTAACTTTGGATTCGTGACTTGTAACTTTAGTTTTCTTTTTTTTTAACCGTGTCCTGTCTGGCTGTGAAGCAAGCAGAATTGATGTCTGAATGCTGGTAACAAGCCTTACAGATTTATTCTCAGGTGGAGCATCAAAGCGTCTGCTTTAAATGTCACGTCTGATACTTAAAACGTTATTGTTATTGTTTTTGAATGCTTTGTAATTCCGACTAGACATGGAGACAGAGGTGAAAGAGAAAGGAAAAGACAAATGGTGGTGTGGTGGGGGGTTCCACAAAAATAAACAATAATGAACAAGAGTCTGCTTCTAGACCTGCAGAAAAAGAAGAGCAGAAAAGAAATGGGACACACAACAATACATCAGGAGCAAACTATCACTGCGTCAACGTGATGATGAAATATAAAATCAACATTGTTTAACTGAACAATCACACGATAATAAATCACAGTGCATTTAGTGGCAACGACAGCCTTGAGACAAGTGTTGAACGTGCCCAAGCCCATACTTTTGAGAGCACCACGTGAGCACCTGTGTGTGTACACGCGCTTGTTTATGTAAGGTTTCTCTATAGGAGCGTTCAATAGAGAGTGTGAGGGACCACAGATCTGCCCCCAAAGATGCGTAGGAGACGGGGGGAGCTCCAAGTCCCAGAGATCCAGGCACTGCCCCAGAACACAGGAACCCCAAGGGGACTGCAACCAGAAAGGCCCCCCGCATGGGAGGGACTCAATGTCTCCTCTACTGCGTCCATTATGATGACCTACACTTCTGTAAATTATGTGTTGATGTCATTTAGCAATGTTTACACAGCCAATAGCTGATTTCTTAAAGAGGATTTGGCAACACAGTAGTGCAGGGTAATTCAAAAATGGTTTATTAATAATGTTGGTGCATTTGCATATCATTATGTTTATAAAATTAATTTGTGAAATTTTTGAGTTAGGTCTCAGCCCTCTGGAAAAAAGGTCATTCTGCACATCTGGAGTTTTAAACATTATATTTATTGTTTTTCTTCTTTCTCAGGAAATGTGGTGTTTGGGGAGCCCATTGCAGCCAGCCTGGGGACTGACGGGACACATTACTGGAGCAAGAACTGGGCCAAAGCAGCTTATTTTGTTACATCACCTCCTCTTAGTCCCGACCCCACCACTCCGGACTATCTCAACACACTGCTGGCAAGGTGAACACCACAGCAACTCCCTCCGGTTTGGGAGGTTTACTGTGCATGGTTTAAGTGTGCAGTTTGAAAAGGTTGCATAAGAACAAGCAAGGAGAGAATAGTTTCTGAGGTCAGCATTGCTAGAAGCAGGCTATTTAGTAATAAAGTCCATGCTGCATGAGAAACTGAGCTCTTTGGATTGAATTTTTTGTAATAAATGCTAAATTATTGCATAATTGCTGGCTAGTGCAAATTATCTTTTACTTTAATTAAAATTCCATCTTTCTGCTTAAAACAAAAGTAAAATTAGCATGTTTAAGTTTATAACTAATGGGTTTTGTTTTGTAAAAGATGAGTACCATATGGAAGCAGGAAGCATCATTAGTAGAGAACACTTTGGCACGCTGCTTCCTTATTCTGCCAAAGTAAATAAACAGATTTTTGTGTGTTTGCAAAGCTCGACTCGAGTAAACAGATTTTGTTGTGCTGGTTTAATTCCATCGTCATGTGTCCTCTCCTCCTAGTGGAGACCTGAGTGTAACTGGCAGCGCTCATTGCACCTTCAGCGTGGCTCAGAAGGCCATCGGAAAGGACGACTTCACTCAGATCCCAGAGGGTGTCAATGGAGTGGAGGAAAGGATGTCGCTCATCTGGGATAAAGCTGTGGTGAGCACCAGTTGAGCTTTTTACTTTGTGTGAAGGAAGATCAAAAGCAGACACAATAGCTTTTGTTCTCTTTGACTGTTTTTTCTCTCCTCAAACTCTACATCTGGACTGTTTGTTCTGTCATTTTCATTGACTATCAAATCTCTCTTGAGTGGTTTTCATTAATAAAAAGAAAAAAATATATACATTATTCTCTTTTTACTCTTTAACTCAACTTCCTTTTTTTCACCATTTAAAATTTCCCTACAGCATCTATTTTTTTTTCTATTCTTTATGCAGCATTAAACCAATGATTTTTCTTTCATTTTGATGTCGTCTGTGCATCAGTATCTGGCTAAATTTCAGCCTCTCTGGAATTCAGTGCTGGCTTTAAAATGTGAGTAGACGTTTCCTGAGAACAGCTGCTTAGGATCCAAGTTCTAAAGTTGGACTGGCGGCTGCGGGTGTGGGTTTTTATAGCCACTTTCACGCGGCTAAATGTGACTTTTAAACTAAATGGACCTAATAGAAGACATCTCCCAAAAATAATCAAATACTCAAGGAACGTTTTGCTGATTAAATCAAATTTTAGGTCTCTGTCTTTGGATTAGGGAAACTTGCAAGAGAATAATTTTTTTCTTTTAAGAAAAATGTGTTTACTGATTTAAATTTAAACATTTTTATGGGTTTATTCAGGTCTTGTTTCTAGCTGTACTCCCACATACACGTGTGTCTTGACAATGCTTGCCCATAGAACCCCTAAGATATACATAAAATTGTATTTTTAACAATATCATAGTTCTGTGTAACAGATCTGGTTCTTTACGTATTTTGTATGACTTCTCCTTTTAGACCACGGGTAAAATGGATGAGAACATGTTTGTAGCTGTCACCAGCACTAACGCTGCTAAGATCCTGAACCTGTACCCTCGGAAGGGTCGGATTGCTGTGGGCTCTGATGCCGACTTGGTCATCTGGGACACAGACGCTGTTCGCACCATCACTGCCAAGACACACCAGTCGGTACGTATTTCACGTCTTGATTAAACGATCAGTATGTCTTCCTGAGCAGGGGAGGTTCTAGACTAAAACTGGGGGGGGGGGGGGGGGGGCTCTGTTAGAGGCGCATTTGTAAGACGACTCTAAAAACATTGCTATCAAGTATTTCAACTGCAATATAATAATAAAGATAAAACAACAAGAATGACACAGAATCTTTATTTTAGATACAACAGCTTTTCATTTCATTTAAAAATATAACTATTTAGAAAAATAATGCATTATCAGAGTTATTTATCTCAATGACAACATGAAAATATTCTATACTTAATAATGCCAAGGCTCTGCTCTCAGCACGGGGGCGGCGGCGGGGTGTCCAAGTTTGTTTTCAGGGCTGCACTGGCTTTTTTTCCCCTGAATTTTATTCCAGTACTTTTCATTTCTTTGCACCTCTTATTGGAATGAACTTTTAAATTTAAACTATTGATAATAACTGAGAATCAACTGTAACAAGTGGTGACAAAACATTATCAAGCAATGAGGATGTAATAAAATATTGACACACAGAAATATTGCTATATTTCATGTTGTGATACTGAGTTGATGTTAAAAAGAATGTATCAATTAGGGATGTCCCGTTCCGATATCGATATCAGGATTAATTTGATATCGGCCCAAAAACACTATCGGATTATATCGGACTGCATCTAAATTGTCGGATATAATGAGTCCGCTCCGCTTTAAATTTCATTCCAGCAGTTCTATCCAGCAGCACCCAGATCCAGCATTTTTTGTTAAAGTCCATTTAAGACATTGTGGCTCAGTGCAACATTTTCCATGCACAAGTTGCCCGAGGTAGAACAGAAGCAGGAAAGCTTAATATGTCCAACCTCATTGCACATTTGAAGCAACATCACAAAACACTGCATGAGAATTTTTGCATTGTGTGGAATTGAAACTTAGGACACTCAACTTGAAGCAGTTGTTAAATGGACAATATTGTGTTTTTCTTTCTTATGTCCCCGTCCTTAGCGAATGTGGGAAATTCACTTGTTACAGCAGCACAAACACTTAAGAAAGTAATTTGGAAAAAAAAGGTACATGCATATACACATAGGCAATAAGCTTTTTTGTAACTAAAAACCTCAAAATAAAAATGAAATTGGGTTTCAGAACTATGCAGCATAAGGGACACAGACATACTATGTAAATCTGGTATTGCACAAGTATAGAACACATACTGAGTATTGCATTGATTTTATTGTGTACCAGGGTAATGCCAGTACCTGTTAAACTGAGGAGTTTTACACTCTTACCGCAGAGGGGATGAATGACCTACGGTAGCGTTCTGTTTTACATCTGGGATGTCTCAATTAAGGACAATCTTAAGGAGCTGTCCATGGTCTCTACAGTGGAGAGATGAAAAAATGCATACACTTCTAACCCCCTTCCTCTGATCATCTGCTCAGATCACAACCTCATTCATCTGATCCCTGATACACACCCGTCACTGCTTGAGTTTAAACCTCAGAGTCAACAATGAGCTCATTCATCCATGTTTCTGTAAAAAACATCAGGCTGCACATTCTGTTGTCCCACTGCAGCCTGGTCAGCACTGTGAGCTCGTCAATCTTATTGGGCAGAGAATGAACATTTCCCATAATCACGGAGGGTAAATATGGTTTATATGCCCGTTTTCTCTCCTGGAGCTTATGTCCCACTCAGCAGCCTTGTTACGACCCCGACAGGAGGTGTTAAAATGTGAAGGAGGGGGCAACATAAGAAATGTGACAGTGGAGTTAAAATGGTTTTAATTGTTGGAACAGGTTCTAAAAACAAGAGCAAACAGATGGAGAGCATTATTAAAAATAATGCCAAACAAACAAAATCAAGACTAAAAGGTCAACATTAAAACACCTGGTTAAAACTTTGTTGAAAGTTTTACCGAAACAGAAGGTGCTTTAAAAATACAATTTGATAATAAAAACTGACATGCTACGAAAACACCGATAGTTTAAAAAACCCAAAGTCGGTAAACTACGATGTTAACCTTAAAACAGAGTCAACCAAGTCGGCATCAAACAAAGATCCATTTGGATCACTCAGAGTTAAAACTATTAAAGTTAAAACTCAACAAAACGAAGGGGTTAAAACCAAAACGATGCCTGGAGGACAGCAGAACCCCTGCACTGCTGCCTCCCAGACTGCTGAAGGCACGGCCTTTTTATCCCAGGTGTGGGTCATCAGCAGGATTCAGCTCAGCTGTGCTCCTCAGCAGCCTGGAAGGGAGGAGGAGGAGGGGCGGTGTCAGGCGATCACTAGGGCTGGGTGATCCTGGCCCATGCATCCCACTGGCCAGGCTGGCAACCGTAACAAGCCTCTACATTTCCTCCTTAATTCTGAGGACAAAACCAGGTCTTCTGTTGTATAAGAGTGCCCGTGTCCGCAGCGCCAACAGCTGATCTCTAACGTAAAGAATAGAGCCGTGGATGGAACTGGAGGAATATCCCAGTGCGTTCCAAACAAGATAAAACAACAGAAAAAATGAACACAAACAACACAATAGCCTAGTGAACTAGACCAAATTCTTGCTTTGCAAAGTTTGGTCTAGGCATGCTCCATTGGAACCTCCGCAGCTCCTACCAGGACTCTGGCTAGCCAATCACAGCTCTCTAGAGGGGTTTCAAACACATAAAGAGCTGTGATTGGTCCATAATGGTGGGCCGGTCATAGTGCTCTATCTGCTTGGTGAACAAATCACAGAGCTTTATCCGCTTTGTGGGCCAATCAGGGCACTCTATATGCCTGGTGGGTGGGATGATGCCACAGAGTGAAACAAGAATATGTTACATTCATTGTCCAGTGGAATGCGGAGATCATTTGAAAGACAACGGTAGAACCCGCCCCACAACCGAGAGCCGTCAATGGAGCATGGCCAGACTAAATAATACATTTATTTAGTCTGGCTTGCCAGGCTACAATAGTGCTGCTGTGGATTGTATGGTTGAGGGAACATATGCCCATATTAAGGGCATTAAAAACACGCAACACAAGACAAGCAAAGAATAAAAAAGAGAGTAAAGAAGCAAGAGCTGCTGTAACTGGCTGCAGCTCATGCCGCGCCATCTTTGATGTAGTTCATTTGATACGTAGATAATACTAAAGTGTATCAACATCTTCTAATCCTGCATATTAATGCCCCGTTTGTATGCTTTATTAACAAGTTTAAAGGATCGGTTTTATAATGCATTCATGTATTCAGAGATTAAAATCAGAAATGAAACTAATTTAAACTAACCTTGCATGGCACGTTTTTATTTAAAGATACGTATTTAGACAATGGCTTCACAATCACTCGTACACACTACTACTTTCACACATTTCACATGCAAACCGTCAGTGCACCTGGTCCTTGTTGGGAAATGAGGTTTCTGTTGATGCACGGACATTAGAGGATTACACCGTGGCAGCTCAGCAGAACAGGAAATGAAGCCTTAAGCAGCCTGGGACAATTCCAGCTTTTACTGACAAACGCAAGCAGAGGAAAAATGCATTTAGAAGCAACGCATATTCACTGTTGATTACGTTGATCTTTATTTTAAGTTGTGAAGTAGTGAGGTCAAATGTTTCCCTTTAATGATGTCACATTTTCATTTCCTACTGTTTGCTTTTCCACAAAAAAGGAAAGAATAAAGTGCAAGAGTTCAGCAGCTGTTTAAAGATCTACATTTTAATGGATCCCATGAGACCAAACATGGTGGACTCTTTTTATTTTTATTTTTTTCAGCTCTTTGTTCTGGCAGAGTGCTCTCCCCCAGACTCCTCTGTCTCAGTTTATCAGTAAATCCACATCTGGTTTGGACTGAAAGCTGTTGTCAACACAGAACTTCATAGATAGGGAGGGAAAAGAGGAAATTTGGAGACATAGACATAATCATGCAGCCACACACACACAGAAACACACTGGGCTTAATTATGACATCATATTTGGCACACACCAAGTCTTAGTTATGTCCTGTTCTGGCCTGAATTTGGACAGCAGTAGAAAAATGGGGCCGTGTGCAAAGGAAATGAGTAACAATGGAGCAAGGGGAGGGGCCTATCAGAGATCACTAGAAAAAAGAAGAGTATGCACAAGAGGAACTGGTCACAAAAGAGAATGAATACATGAAAAAAGAAAAGGATCATTTGATAACATGAAACTAGGATGATAGAGTCATGTGAACAGAGTTAGAGGACAGGTTATAAAGCAAAGGGATGGAGGGAAATGGTGTGAAGGTCAACAACAGCATCAGATGCCAGCTGGAAGATGGCAGCTGCATGTGCCTGCCAAACAGGGAAGTGTAGAAAACAAGGTGATGAATGAGAAATAAATGACTCGGTGAAAGATTAAGAGAAGGAGGGGAAAAATTGTGCTCTTTATAACTTTTAGACAACGATCTAAGTACATTTTGAAACCACAGTAGCCATCACTTTTCCATTTTTTGGTGTTTTTATTTATTTGGCTGTAAAATCTCAGAATAAATATCCCCTCTGCCTTCTCTTGTGTGTTTTAGGCTGCTGAATACAACATTTTTGAGGGCATGGAGCTGCGTGGCGCCCCACAGGTGGTGATATGCCAAGGAAAGATTGTTCTGGAAGATGGAAACCTTCATGTCACCTCTGGAGTGGGACGCTTCATTCCCTGCTCTCCTTACCCGGACTTTGCCTATAAACGTATTAAAGCCAGGAAGCAGGTGAACACTGCTGTCTTTTATAAAAGCTTTTCAGCTGCTCTCTCAGTAGCATTTAATTCTTACTGTGATTAGAAATTAGCAGTGTGTATTCACCATACATGAAATTCCATCAGGATCGAGGAGCTAACAGCTAGTTTGTTAACTACATTACATGTTTATTTACTCAAACTTTTATAATAATCAAATTTTTTGGACTGTAAGCCACTACTGTTTTCACATGCTTTGAACAGTGAGGATCAATTAATGATGCAGCTAATTTGTGTTCATTTTACGGGAAAGTGACGCTGACGGAGACAACGAAAAGGAAGCTAAGGAAGTGTGTGACAAAGTTATTCTGAAGCTGTCCAATTCTGATACTGAGGACAACTACTTATCTATCTATCATCTATCTATCTATCTATCTATCTATCTATCTATCTATCTATCTATCTATCTATCTATCTATCTATCTATCTATCTATCTATCTATCTATCTATCTATCTATCTACCTACCTACCTACCTACCTACCTACCTACCTACCTATCTATCTATCTATCTATCTATCTATCTATCTATCTATCTATCTATCTATCTATCTATCTATCTATCTATCTATCTATCTATCTATCTATCTATCTATCTATCTATCTATCTATCTATCTATCTATCTATCTATCTATCTATCTATCTATCTATCTATCTATCTATCTATCTATCTATCTATCTATCTATCTATCTATCTATCTATCTATCTATCTATCTATCTATCTATCTATCTATCTATCTATCTATCTATCTATCTATCTATCTATCTATCTATCTATCTATCTATCTATCTATCTATCTATCTATCTATCTATCTATCTATCTATCTATCTATCTATCATCTATCTATCTATCTACCTACCTACCTACCTACCTACCTACCTACCTACCTACCTACCTACCTATCTATCATCTATCTATCTATCTATCTATCTATCTATCTATCTATCTATCTATCTATCTATCTATCTATCTATCTATCTATCTATCTATCTATCTATCTATCTGTCTATCTGTCTATCTATCTATCTATCTTCTATCTTCTATCTATCTATCTATCTATCTATCTATCTATCTATCTATCTATCTATCTATCTATCTATCTATCTATCTATCTATCTATCTATCTATCTATCTATCTATCTATCTATCTATCTATCTATCTATCTATCTATCTATCTATCTATCTATCTATCTCTATCGTCTGTCATCTATCATCTGTCTGTCTGTCTGTCTGTGTGTGTGTCTGTCTGTCTGTCTGTCTGTGTGTGTGTGTGTGTGTGTGTGTGTGTGTGGGTTTGTTACCAGCACGTATTTAATATAATAGGATTAGAAAAGCCTGACTTATCTACGTCACACTGTCACTTAACATTCATGGACTCACCCATCTTAACTTTCGACAGCAGAAACAGCGGAGAACATCTCAACTAGTAGAAGCTAACCATTACCATTAGCAACTCCAACCCACAGCAGAACTCCTTCAGGCTTGTGTTATTTGTGGAGATATAACATCAAAGTTCCAAAGAAAACTGAGTCAGTGGTAGTCACGTTGCTGTTGTCCAATCAGAGACGAGATGTCCAAATATCAGGAAATGAGACTCCAAATCCCACCGTGTTCAGCTCTAATCTGATCTGGCTCACTTCTAGTTCCTGAAACTGGTGCACTGGGGCTTTGTTTCTCCCAGAGTACGACTTACAAGGCATTCATTCCTAGAGACCACTGCAAACATTAAAAATATGATGTCATCACCTTTACATCAGTTTGACATCCGAGTTGAAGGTGGACGTCCTTCAAACATTCAAAACAGGCTCAACGTAAAGTCTTTACTGTCTTTGAGGTGCTTTTGTGGCAAGTTTAGTCTATGGCCTTGTCTTTACTTTTGTCTGTCGTTTCAAGTAGAAGCAGACAATCGTGAAATCGTTCTGTTATGGCTGTGAAGGAGATTGAAGAAGCTCCATGACTCTCTGCATCTTTAATAACAAATTAAAAAGACCACTTAGGTACATCTGAAAACGCATGCACGCACACTCCCTGACTGACGTCTGTGTGTAAGTGTATGCTGAACACCATTGGCTAATGCTGAATGTTAAGTCAAATTGCATGGGGGTCTGTGGGATGTGATGGGCGTAGCAGAAATAGACAAATTGATTATATTATACTGCAGATATATTATTATATATTTAAAGAAAAATGGACCAATATTTTAAAAAATCTTTTATTCGGAAGGCCATTTAAAAGTGTTATTTATATCCCACAGGAAAGGCTGCAATGCCTTTTATTGGCCTCTTGCCAACAAATGTGTAACTACAGGAATTATCGGTGGCAGAAATGAGTGTTACTCCTTTGATGTCATCCAAACTGGCAAAACTTATAAAGGGACCATTTAGCTCCCATAAACAATTCAGAATATGGAAAACTTCTTATTTATTGACTCGGTTGAAATCATTTAGGCAGACCCTGCACCCTTGCTTTCTTTCCATCTTTTTTATTGCCTGAAGCATTCAAATTCCCAAACAATATTTTTTTTCCCAACAGTTTCTTAATTTGCAGCTGGCAGCCTTTGAGAAGGCAGAGCCGTAGCAACAGAGCTCTGTTTATCTTAGTAGCAGTTACTGTTGTGCTTCCTTGGTTCACACAGATGTCTCTTTTTAAGTCTTGATGGAGCTTCCAAGATTCCATTGAGTCACGGCACTGACAGACACACACACACACACACACACACACACACACACACACACACACACACACACACACACACACAAAGGCTTGTTGACTAAGCAGGACAGTGTCAGCTTGATTTGAAATGATACAGAAAGTTGATTTATTTTGTTTCGACAATTGAATATGTAGATCTATGTGTTTGTGGCATTTTATTTGGTGAAACTGTTTGTCTTGGAAAGACACCAATTATTTAAGATTAATAGCTTTTATAAGAAGAAATATAAGAACAATCTGATTTAATAGAATCCATTCTTCCTGTTTGTCTTGTAGCTGGCCGTTCTGAGGGCGGTGCCCAGAGGAATGTACGATGGCCCAGTGTCTGAGTTCTCCCTGTCCCGTGGCGGTACCCCCTCCGCCTCGGCACGCACCTCACCAACCAAACAGCCTGTCAGAAACCTGCACCAGTCTGGATTTAGTCTAGCAGGTAACCCTGCAGCATGTGGTGAGCAGCTCAACTTCTTAACAAAATATCCATTCATGCATCACCAGTTCCTTTCTGTTTTTTATTCATTTTTCTGGGTCATCTGCATATCTGCAGACATGAAGAGTATAACTGTTTCCAAAGTGTAACTCACCCCAAAAATTCCCCTCAGCTTTCACTTCTTCATAGTAATGTGATCTGAAGCATAATTTGCTGATTTCACATGTCCAAAGTCAGATAAATTTCTGTGTAAGTCTGGGAAAGTGATGGGAATAACGCCGTTTAAATATAACGGCGTTACTAACTGCATTCTTTTTTGGGGTAATGGAATAATGTAATTAATTACCTTTCCCACTGTTGCAACACCGTTACCATTACTGGGGATGGAAGGTTGTGCGTTACTATGTGCTTGTCGAACGTTGAGCAACAGTGTGAGGCTTTCTGACCGCCACACATCAGCTACAGCCAGGGAGAGAGAGGTGTCGGTAACACACTTACAAACACGATGATGATTGGCCGGGTGGGCGGAGACCCTCACGGTCTCAGTCGCTGCATGCTGTGGACACAACAGAACAGTGATGGGAATAACGCCATTTAAAATAACCACGATACTAAAAAAAATATTTTCTTTAGTAACGAGCAATCTAATTAATTACCATCTTCTTTTATCAAAACGTAGTCTCTGTTACTGATAAGAAAAAGCGTGCGTTAAGCAGCGCGGTGTGTTGAAGCTGCCATCAGCTGATCAGGAGCTAAAGAGGCAGATGTTTTCATCCAAACGCATCACGGCCCGTGAAGAACGAGGAAGACGTGATGAATATCTACGGCTGCAGGTGTGGATCTGCAGCCATGCCCTTCTTAGCGTGACAGATGTCCTGATCTTCTACCTTCCTAGATCATCCAGCTGTAACCTGTTTCCCTTTTAATAGTCTAGATAAGTGTAATGTTCCTGTTAGTAGTTCCTCCTGTTAAGTGCTTAATTGTTTAAATTATTCAGGTTTATAAAAAACATTTGGACATACATTTTATTATGTTCCAGTCATCAGTCATTTATATTTCACTATTGTAGTAATTTATAGTAAACTGTAAGTTTAAATCAAGAGGAGAACCCATTTTTCTTGTGATCTTTAATGAAAAAAGTAACTAAGTAGTTATTTTTCTTGGTAATTAGTCACTTTTATAATCTTGTAACTCGGTAAGTAACTGAGTTACTTTTTTGACAAAGTAATTAGTAGCTATAACTAATTACTTTTTAAAAGTAACGTTCCCAACACTGGTCTGGGATTTTTTTTATTCATTTGATGATGCTGTTTATCTCAAATGAGAGCATTATTAGACTCATTTCCTGTAAGTGTTGGACTCCAACAGGAGTCTTTTGTCACCAATTCTGTTTAGAACTTTCACAGACAGAATTCATAGGTGTAGCCAAGAAGCAGGTCTTTAGTTGGAAGTAGCATCCAAAGTGCTTTACAGTACCGCGATTCATCCATCCATTCACACACTCATGGTGATGAGCTACATTCTTGCTACAGCTGCCCGGGGACACCATGACAGAAGCAAGGCTGTCGTACACATGCCCCATCAGTCCTTTAGATCACCATCAGTAGGCAATGATGCCAAAGTGTCTTGCCCAAGCACACAATGGCTGACATGACTACAAGAGCTTGGGTTTGAACTTGAAACCCTCCGATTACAGGGCAAACTCCTAAACCGTCGGCCATCGTCGCCCCTGGCACTGGAATGGTTAGCAGCTGGAATGAAGACCTGCACCAAAAATCTTAAGCTATGGTCTTAAACTGGTAAAGGGTCCACTCCAGACTGGGAATGAACCACTGCTCCAAGTAGAGGAGTTCAGATATAAAAAGATCTTGTTCATGATTGAGATTAGAGCAGGATGTTGATAGGTGGATTGGGCTTCGGTTAAAGATGTCTTACTCATGGAAACGTAATTTAGAACTCTATTGAAAAGCTCGAGAGATTCCATGGAATCATCTTGTCTGGGAACACTGGAGTCTGGAGGAGATAGCTTGGGAGGTAGGGGTGAGGGGCGTTTGAGCGACGTGTCCTGCCAATGAGGGGGTGGTGGCGATGCATTCTGCAATGCCCATGGAGGGTATTGTGGGAGGTTTTCTGGAAGATGAGATGAAAGATTCTCCACAAGGACTTGGCTCTCATCGTTCTGTTTTCCCCACAACCCCAGTTCCAAGTAACAAACACTTTGAATTAATTTAAAATTAAGTTCAGGGCAAACAGTGGCAGAGGAGTCAAGTATCTGCTCTGTAACTGGAGGCTTGCAGGTTCAAGCCCTGCTCAATCTGTGGCAGTCATTGTGTCCTTGGGCAAGACACTTAACCTGCCACACATGCTGTTGGTGGTCGGAGGGACCGGTGGCGCCAGTGGTCAACAGCCTTGCATGTGTCAGTGCGCTCCTGGGCCGCTGTGGCCACAGTGTAGCTCATCATCACCAGCGCTTGAATGGGTGAATGATTGTTTGTGTTGTAAGGTGCCTTGGGGGGTTGTAGAACCCTAAAGTGTATGTAAAAACAGGCCATTTACCATTTAAATAACCACTGACATGCAAAAACAATCAAGCTGTACTACATAAGTTGTAAACAGTTTTTGACGCTAGTGATTTATGAAATTCTGTATAAAACAAATTTATGTAACTACTTTAACTTCAAGTTCCTAAACTAGTGAATCTGGTGGGCTGCAAGTAATGTTTTTCACTCTACGAATAAGCATTTTTTCCTGAAGGATGGAAATTCTTGGCCATTGTGCAAACATTTGATCTAAACCAAACGAGCAGACATACTTTTCGGAGAAAAAAGTCTGTTTTATCTCTTTAGCAGAGGGTCAAATCTGTGTAGAATGAATATAAAGGCTCTAGCTGTTATTTTTATCTATTCATAGTATATAATATTTAAGATCTAATTAACATAACATACCAGCCCACTACAAGCACACCATGCACTACATGTTCAGGGAGCATACATTTGTTTCTTCCCTACTTAAAAGCTTATTTGAAAAGGTTTAATCTGGAAAAAATAAGACATTGTTGAAGACATTGTTGTAAATAATTCTGCCCTAAACAAACTCCCTTCTGGAGATTATCTACAGATATTTACAGCTTCCAAATAGCTCCTTTTTGACCTCCTGTTATGGACTTTTTATTGGATTAAACAGCAGTAAAGCAACATTTTCCTGACATTTGCACTCCCTTGAAGTCACAGTGGATAGGTTTTCAATTCAATGTTAAAACCAATCCAGCCAGGCATCTAGACATGGTCTACTAGAAAATCCTGTCTAATGTGAGATATCACCACAGCCTTTGTTAGACATCTGTTCCACTCTGCACAGTTGCAGATTAACACTCCGATTGTACTTTTACGTGAGGTTGGTGCAGAATTTACATTCAGGAAACAAATATTACACATGCTGATGGCCAAACTTTCAAAATGTCACTAAATGGTAAAGTTAGTGTTTTTACAGTTTTGCTGTCAGATGAAACAACCATTGCTAATTCTCTCCTTGGTTAATCAGAAATGAACATAGATAAATGGACTTATTTTCATGTGAAAACTTACTATGAAAGAAAACCTGTGCTTGGCCTTTGGCAGAAATGAACAGCTTGTCTTTACAAGTTGCTTATGTGTGATATCACATTGACGATGAGTAACTGAAGCCGAGTGAGGCCGCTCCTGGTTTCTCTAGATTTGTAATAGGGACCACAGCAGCAAATGAACTGTCACCTTTGGTCTTCAGCCTAGTGCTGCGCAACCAGTAGGCTTTGGTCACTGGACCTCAGGGACCTGCTGGGGGTGTAGGGACAGAGAAGATCACCAATGTATGATGGTGCTTGCCCATGTAAGGCCCTATAGACCAGTGAAGCTGGAGGAGAAGCAGGGTGATGTGGGTGTGTTTGGAGGACTTGGTCAGAAGCCGAGCACAGGCATTCTGAACCACCTGTAGACGGTTCAGGGAGGTTCTGCTCAGACACGTGAAAAGAGAGTTACAGTAGTCTAAGCGTGAGGAGATGAAGGAGTGGAGAACTGTCTCAAGTTCAGAGCGGGACAGAACGGGACTCAGCTTAGCAATGTTCCTGAGGTGGAAGAATGAAGATCGAACAAGATAACTGACATGAGAATCCAGGGTGAGAACTGGGTCAAAGGTCACACTAAGAATCCTGACAGAGGGTTTGGTGTGAGAAGCAAGCTGACCAAGAGAGTCTCTGACTTTGGGAACCAGCTTGTCTGGGGAACAAATGAGGATCTCAGTATTTATTCAGCTGAAGAAAGTTCCCAGCCATCCACGTTCTGATAGTCTAAGCAGGTGTAGCAGCTGCAGCTTAGACATCTCATGGGACTTAAAGGAGATGTGCAGTTGGATGCCATCTGCATAAAGATGGTAGGAGATTCCTTTAACCCTCCCACTGTCTTCATGGGTGACCCCGCGAGGAAAGTTGACCATTGAGCAGGATTGACGGTTTATCCCTTGAGGTCCACGTGGCAGGGGTGAGGTGGTGCTCATTCCTCAACCCTGCCACATGGACCCAAGGGATAAACCATCAACCCTGCTCAATGGTCAACTTTCCTCGCGGGGTCACACCCATTAGGACAGTGGGATGGTTAAAAGAGCTCAGAATATCCTGGAGAGGAAACGGATAGAGGAGTAGTAGAGATCCCAGCACAGAACCTCGTGGGACACCATGGGTGAGGGAGGTGGTGGAGGACCGAAACTTGGAGATGGCCACAGAGAAGAAACGCACAGACAGATAAGATAAGAATGTAGAAAATAAAATGTATTAAATTAAAAGTCCACTGACCCCCCCCCCCCCTTCCCCCCTCTGAGTTTCACATAAAGGCTAAATGTGAAAATGGTTTTGTATCCTTATTTGAGAGTGTGTTTTGGCTAGTAGAAGCTAATCATTAACATTAGCGACTCCACCACATGGCAGAACTCCTTCAGGCTTGTGTTATTTGTGGAGATTATTTGCTGACCAGAGTCAGTGGTGGAGTAGCGTTGCTCTTAATCAGTCAGAGGCAAAATGCCAGAATATCACGAAATAAGACTCCAAAATGAGCCGCCTTCCGCTCATCTCTGCTGTGACTCCCTTCTCCTTTTGGAAACAGGAGCGCCAGAGCATTATTTCCTAAAGAGATCAACTCACAGTGCATTCATTCTTATTAGAGACCACCAACGTATTGAAAAATAACATGTAAACTTGGTCTTTAAAATTGTATATAATGTAACTTGATTTTGCCTGTTTATTTATCGGTTTTTACTCTTTTAATCACACAACCTTTATATCATGGACGTAATTTTGGGGGGGGGGGTCAGGGGGGACATGTCCCCCCCACTTTTTCCAAAGTCAAGTTTTGACCCCTGCACTTTTTACCATCCAAAAACAATATTACGCTATATTAAATTGACACTGGTTGAGCTCTAGGACCAAGTGGAAAACAACTGTTTGTGTTGAAGCCTGTTTCCCATTAGAGCATACTGTAAAGATCCCCCCCCCCCCCCCCCCACACACACACACACACACCCGTGTCCCCCCCACTTCTAAAGTGAAAATTACGTCCATGATCATGCACATAGTATACATGGACATTTTCAGCTACTTCTCCTCTCACAAATAAAGTCAAAATATTTTTGGTTTGTTCGGCACAACTGGCCTAAATTAAATTGAAGTAGTTGTCACATTTGTCACAGATAAAATCTAAAGTTATAATGGTGGGAGATGTTGATGTTAGTTACCTAAATGGTTTAGTTTTTTTCTCGATTTTTAGGGTGTGGGGCTGCATTAATTAGTATTGGAATGTTGGCTATTGGTGATAAAGTCAGTATAGTAACATAGTAATATTGCTTTCGTAAAGTATTATCAATAACTTTTGAAGCCAACTGTATTTGGCTGTTATTAAAATATGTCATGGAAGATTGTATTAAATCTTTATAAAAAATTAATAAGCTCATTGAAAACGTTTATAACTTTCATAAATATTAGGTTACGTTTTGAAATGGTTGCATCTGAGTTGTTTACACCACACTCTTGAGTGCTTCCAGAGCAAACGAAGATCTTGCAATGGGATGCAAGTGGATGATGCTGCCGTCATGGAATGAGATGTATTTAATTCTAAACGGTCTTACCTGGTTTTGGATCATTTTGTATCTGATTTGCTCCTAGTGGTTCTTTTACAGGCTGCCATGTTTTTCAGAAACTGTGAACATGAGGGTGGCACCGGTACATTAGTTGATGGAGATAAATAAATATAAACAAATAGAATGATTCGTTTGTACGATACATTTTTTTTCTTCACCAGCTTTAACAAAAATGGCGACTGAGACAAATATGTTTGTGTTTATGTATTTAGCAGACGCTTTTGTCCAAAGCGACTTACAAGTGATAATCGGCATGTTGCCCTTGAGGCTAACAACAACAACAACAACAACAAACAATTTCCAGTCAGTCGTAGGTGGCGGTGAGGCAGCATGAGGAATCATGGAGAGGAGGGAACAAGGAGTGGACAGTAGAGAGGGGGGACAGGTGCAGGGAGGGTGCTAGTTAAGGAGATGCTCTCTGAAGAGCAGGGTCTTAAGGAGTTTCTTGAAAATCGAAAAGGAAGCCCCTGTTCTGGTAGTGCTTGGTAGGTCATTCCACATTTGTGGAACGATGCATGAGAAGAGTCTGGATTGTCCTAAATATCTGTTAAGATTTCATTAACTAATACACACTTTGGCTGAATGTTATTAAAAACTTATTTTTGTTTTTTCAGCATAATATTTTTTATTTAGTCTTGTTCTTTCTGAACATTTCACTTATTTTTTTCATGCATGCTTTGCTTTAAATCTGATTTATTTTTTCTCACTTTTACTCTGTGCAGGTCCCCCCACTCCAGAGGACCTCCCCATCAGGCCTGCTGGTCGCCGCATTGTAGTGCCCCCTGGTGGTCGCTCCAACATCACTTCTCTGAGTTAAACAGCAGGAAGACAAAGAGACGCTCCCACAAAATAACAGCCAGATTGCAAAATTGAGGGTGGGAGGGAAATGGGGAGGAGGAGAGGAGGTATGAAGAGGACCATTAGTAAAACAAACAAACAAACAAACAAACAAAAGTTTAAGAAACAAAACACTGAATCCTCATGCCTTACCTGTCACAGTGCTACTATGCTCAGATGAGAAATGTATCCCTTTTCCTACAGGGAGTCAGAGGTTAGGAATCACCACCAAAGCACATTTCATGACCAGTCTTAGGTTCACTTCTTCTCTACAGAGAAAACACGATTTCCAACAAAATTCTGCTAATCAAGAATAAAACAGGAAAATGGATACCTCCTTTCTCAGAATGATGCTATTCCTCTTTTACCCTGCTTGCCTTTTAATGTCACTCCCTTTTCAGTTGCCTGCTTTCTCCATAATCACAAAAACCTAACACTAGACTCCATTAGCCACGAATCCTCCTGCAGTACCATTGGTTAGCACTAGGTGGTGTTGTATATACAATAGATGTAATGTAGCTTTGTGAATGATGTTGTTGCAGCCTGTTTGGATTTCCTAGACCAGGCAAAAATACAAAACGCCGCTGAAAGCAGGAGTGCTGTTGGACATGGACCTGCATGGGCCACATTACTATGGGCGACGTGATCCATGATCCTTATCCACCTTCTCCTCAGAGATGTTCTCCTGATGTACCGTATTGATTATCAGTTTTTTTAAAGAGTAAAAGTATGATCTGCTTAGGAGGAGACTTAAAAAGACAAATACAATTATTTAATTATTCTTTATCACCCACTTTTATTTGTCTACATTCCATCTGCATCTTAACAAAACATTGCAAGAAATAGTCCTTTGCATTTGCTTCTAGCATACTGGCTGCAACTAACCATGCAATCACCTCAACATAAACAGATTGGTGAATTAAAAGTAGAAAACTGATCACCAGGAGGAGGAATTCACTGTTCTGTGAAGCAACTTGTGACAAGAAGTCTTGCAGATGCAATGACCCGATGAAATAAATAAATCTGATCTCAGATATTGGTGCTTTACCTCCAGATTTACTCATTTTTCTAATTCCCTCCCAACTGGGCTCCCAGTAAAGGACACCATTCTCTTAGCATTCCAATACAACCCTATAATAAAGTATTTTATGCATTCAACATCAGCTGAATAACAAAAAACAATCAGCCCAGTCGTCTGGTTCTGATCGGTCGAAGAGGGAGGGAATTAGAGCTCGTTTTTATGTCTGCTGTTTTCTGCTCAGGCAGAGGATTCTGGTGCCGTTTTTGTTATGCAGTTGTGTGGGGAAGGTTAGAAGGAGAGGTTGGTTTTATTTGGCAATCTGAGGCTAGCACAGGTGGCGTTTTGTTGTATTTATGTTGGTTTGAGAACCTTTGTCACTGTTTATTTTTTTACTTTAAAGATCCGAACCCTGAAATGACAGGTGAAAAACCAAGGTGTGGTAGTATCGTTTGTTTCCTGAATAAACATGAGTTGCAACAGATGTGGCCTGTTTGATGTCAATTTTTTTATTTATAGGCATGCAAGATTTGGACATAACTAACAGAAATGGACAATAAAGATGTGGTGGGGGAAGCAAAAAGTCCCAACTCACCAATTTTATAGTTACATGAGTCAATGTCAGCAAAGTCTTTGTGGGGAAAACATTTTTTATTCATATTTTCTAAAATGTACTGACTCCAAACTGTGTTTATCAGTAGAGGGAATCCCTTAAATGTGGTACTGGTGCTTTTTCCACAGTGATCACTATCTTGGGGAAAGGTGAAGTTCCTACTCATGTTCCATGGAAGTTGTGATTTAGGTCCATAGAAAGTTCCTTTCTTGTCGGATCATCTCCAGCTAGCGGACCTCACATCCTGGCTCTTTTTCCCAGGTGAGGGCTCGACCAGCACACTCTTACCTTGTCACTGATAAACTCCAAAAACCACCATGATTCAGTAGGTTCAATAAAGTGAAAAGGCAGAAATATTGTCACAGTGAACACACCTCTGGACTCCCTGAGGCTACTACCCCCAGGTCGGCTGTCAATACAGCCCCAAACATCTCCATACATCATTTTTTATACCCTAAGATAAGTCCCACCCACTCAGTGAGCTGGCATTCTGTCATTGGATCAGTTTTCTATGATAAAATCATGGAAACTCCTTGCAGAATGCCTCTGCTGGGATTCAAATCTGCGGCTAACTTGTAGCTGCTGTTCAGTTTAAACTGTATTAATAGCTGTGATTTAGTCACATTGTGTTATCCAGTCTTCACAAAAATGGTCCAACTAGTAGAAATAATAAAAGTATGATTTTTATAAATAAAATTTAAATCTAAATACCACAGCACATGTGTTGTGAAGGGATGAGAAAATATGTTGAGGTAAAATTATTCATGTAAAAATGACAAAATTAATATTTAGCATTTGAACAGAGTATTGAGATATCTAAGTAGGACTTGAGCTGCACGTTGGTCCATTTCTCTCTCTCTCTCTCTCTCTCTCTCTCTCTTGCTGTAAACATATTACTAACTCTGTTATTTGCTATGGTTTGGCTTATCTGAGCTCCTGTCAGACAGAATTTAGAAGCATTCATCAAGTGAGAAGATCTTTCCCCAGTTCAGCTATTAATGTGGAAAAAGTGCTGCCTTAGTAAAGCCTGCTGTGGAGGAAAGAAGGGATGGTGCCCTCTAGATGACCCAGAGCAGCGGTTCTTTATTCGCTGGTAAAAGATAAAAAGAAGGAGTCACTCAGGAAAAAAAATGGAAACTCGTTCAGATAAGTGCAAGACTAGCTATGAGAAGTTCTATTCACGTGTTAAAACAACAAGTATTGTTAAATGTTTGTTACACTATTCATGTAACACTAGAGGGCAGCATTCTGTAAGGCAGGTATAAAAATAAGATTTGAACGAGTTCCATTTCATTCATAATTATTTTTAAAAAATGTTTAAGATTAAACAAAATATCTGTCAGTTCAAAAAAGAAATTTATTATTTAAGGCACACCTTAATAGTTTCAGCTCCATCACATTTGATTACAATAAACACACAACAAGTGAAGGACAAAACAATGTAGAACAATTCACAGGATTGGGACAATTCTGTTCTCAGACGTAGCTTTAGCCTATTTAAATACTTTATTTTTATCTTTCGAATGGGTTTTACCTGGCCTAAATACTATTTGTCAGTGAAGGTTTGGGGACAGCAGTAGCTCAGGAGGTAGAGTGGGTTCTGGGCTCCAACCAGAGAATGCTGCTGTTGGGTCCTTGGGCAAGACACCCAACCTCCCTTGCCTGCTGGTGGTGGTTGGAGGGACCGGTGGTGCCGGAGCTCAGCAGGCCTACTCTCTGTCAGTGTGCCCCAGAGCAGCTGTGGCTACATCGTAGCTCGACCTCACCAGCGTGTGATTGTGTGTGTGAATGACTGATTGTGTTGTGAAGCACCTTGGGGGGGTTGTTGAACCCTAAGAAGGTGCCAAATACAGGCCAATTACCATATATGTATGGAAGATCAGAAAATAAAACAAAAAATATATCTGGCATTGCTGGTAACAATCTACAACAGGGGTGCCCAATCCTGGTCCTGGAGGGCCGGTATCCAGCAGGTTTTGTGGTTTTTCTGCTCCAACAAACTTGATTAACTGGTTGAATCACCTGTGCAGCATCTCATCAGGCTCTGCAGAAACCTGTTAATCACCTGCTGATTGAAATCAGGTGTGTTGAAGCAGAGTTCAAACTAAAACATGCTGGACACCGGCCTTCGAGGACGAGGATTGGGTACCCCTGAATAAACATCTATGCTGTTTTAAAAAAAATCTCAAATGATTTAGACCAGGTATCCCCAAAGCCACCATCCACTCATTTAACAATCCCAAACATGTCCCACAACTCACACAGGGAACCATCTTTGGATCTATAAAGCTACGTTAGCGACAACAGCAACACAAAGGTCAAAACATTTTCCCAGTTTTCAATAGAAACAACAGAAACACTAATGAATTAAATGTGGTTTTGGTGAAGTTTTTACAACAGATCACAGGTGTGAAAGGGTTGATTCATGGTGCAGGTTTAAAAACCAAGGCCCGGAAGGTGATGAAGCATTACAAATCACACCATTTTTTTATTAGGTGGCTGAAACAAGGTAGGTTTGTCACTTCAAATACATACAGAAATAAGCTGTGTGTCATTTATGGTGTAAGGCATCCCCTCTGCAAGCTTCAGAGGCAAGTGTTTTCTACATTTTTGGCTGCAGTTTTGAAAAAGTTCAGCCAGCAAGACAAAGGGTGCTGTTTTGGCTATAATATCTGAAGCAATTTTTTTAAACCCTGAAACAGACTGAAAATAGCTATTTTGTTTGGTACAATGAAATATATACGACTTTTACACAAAGGTAAAAGGACAGTAATACACTACTTAAAACTTTTTGTGCAGGAGTTAGCTTAATTCACATCTATGAATTCATGTTTAAGGGAAAAAAATCACTCACAGTTTTATTTTTGTGCATAAATGCAACAAGTTATGAAGAGCATGTGCAAAGCAGGAGTCAGAGCAGAAAATACATTTCTACTCTTTTTTTCCCTCTCTGAAGCCCCAAACTGATGTAAAAATTTGCTCAAAATGCTAATATTTTAGCTAAAACTTTATTCCGAATGTTCCTCTTCTACAGCTTAAAACCACACAACCCCATGTACATTTCTTTTTTTAAACTCTTTCTTTAGATACATTTAAACTTGAACTGTACACAGTGTAAGACAGCAGCTTTCGTCTGTTTCAGCCAGAGATGGACTTAGGGCTTTATCGGAAAAGCTACAGGCCTGCTATCAATTCTAGCTTATAGCAAAGCTAAGCATCATGATTACTACAGCTATTAATCTGCTGCTTTGATAAAGTGAGCCATTCATGCTCAAAGCCATTTACTAATTCTGATAAAGTGAAGTTTTCTGCCTTAAAAAACAAATAACTTGTTTTATCTAATTAACTTTTAAGGTTGCTACGTCCGTCATGCTAGTCAGGACACATAGAGAACATTTTTCTACCCAAATGGTTGTTAGTCTAACCAGAGAACTGTGTTTTGTGTAAATACACACAGCCAGAAAATGTATCAAGTTGGAATCGAAATACTCAGATTTCAGCTTCTTATTTTTCAGCAGGGATCTGTTTTTTTTCTTTTTCCCTCAGTGCAGCGCTCTGATCAGGCACCAGAGGGCTGTGCGAGAGAACAATAAGAAGCATGCAGCTCAGGCGGTCCTTTTTGGTGACACTGAAGCAACTATGTCATGTTGCTGCTGCTGCAGAAGTCTGTTTCTCTTCTACAGCACTGACTTGTGGCTTTGTCTTGTCTTTTTGGATTGAGTGGTGTTAAAATGAGTGCATACAGTGTTGTTTTTGTACACTATTTAGAGTGTAGGGACATAGAAAACCACCAGTTGTGAAGCCATGTGCTAACTGTACAATATGGTGTCTGGCTGTTTATTTGCTGATCTGCAAGCTAGGCAGGTGCAAGAAATGAGCTGGAGGACCTAAGACCATTATCCTGATAAATAAGAAGCTGGCTCAACGTTGTTGTTCTGTCCGTCTTCTATTGCCTTGTTCTTCTCACTTGTGGATAGTTCTGAAGAATCCACTAATGCCATTTTAGTCCTGTTGAGAGAAAAACACCTTAGTGACTGCAGCATGATCCTATGGAAGCCCATTTCTGCCACTCTGATAAAAAAAACTAGGTTTTTCTTGTATGTCATTATTATGACTTAGTTATCTCATAATTATTAGATGGATGCATAGATTTGAACAACAGGCAGTGTAAAGAAATGGTCTCGGAAACACCCTAATGTGCATGAATCCATCAACACTGATTATAAATAACCAGCTAGAGCTACCAATTTACTGCCAAATCAGTCACGGTCACAAGACTCATGATTTGATGCAATATTCTTTTCATTGTCAGATTTTAAAGGCAGAAATGAAAGTGAGAGTGAGGAAAGACAAATGCATGTATAGTTTTTGTTCAAGTTTTGAGAAAGAGGTATTCAAACCCAGTTCGTGGGGAATTGTTTCAAGTGTTTCAAGTCAATCTAAATCTAAAGCCGTCAGTTAACTGGACGAGTGTGAGAGAGTAAGCATCATGAAGGAGACACTCCATGAATTAGGAGATCGTGTAGAGAGGCCGCTATGCGCAGGGGAGCCCAGACCTACTGGAGGGCCGGTATCTAGAAGGTTTTAGTTTTAATCCTGGTTCAGCACACCTGATTTTCAACCAGCAGTTAATTAGCAGGCTTCTGCAGAGCTTAATGAGCTGCTGCACAGTGATTCAGCCACTGAATCAAGTGTGTTAGAGCAGAGAAACCACAAAACCTGCTGGATACCAGCCCTCTAGGACCCAGATTGGGCACCCCTGGCCCAAAGCGAGGCTCAAACCTTCGACAACAGACTGTGAAATAACAGAAACATCTAGAAACACGCTGATTCTTCTGCATGTAAGAAGTGAGTTTACCCTTTTTTGTGGTGGTTTTGGTGTTTACATGATCATAGAGCACAATATTCTGTGGCTATTAAAAAAATGGTAAAAATGCTACAAAATGCTGGCAGTCAGGGACTTTTCTGATCAGAGAACAAATGAGTGTTTATTATTGGCCCTTGCCAACTCCTCTATCAGAGGGCAGAAGACATATATAGGACTGGATACAGTAGCTTTTGAGGAAGGTACTAATTCCAATACTCCATCTGGACACTTTAAAGAGGGCCTGCACTTGTTATGTCAATAAATGTGCTGTGGTCTGGTAGGAATGAATGCCTTTTGAGTCATTTGTGGTGGAAAATAAAGCTCTTGTGCTTCTGGTTTAGGAAATAGAAGTTGGGGAGAGGGGCAGTATTTGGAGTCTTACTCATTATTATTATTCATGACACAAATCTTCCAATGTCTCCGTTTGCTCTGCTATGTTGATGCAATGAACCCGGCCTACGCCATCATGGGCTCCCTTTGGTGAGTCATTAATGCTCATTTACTGTGTGAAGTAGATCTGTGTGCCTTTCTCTGACCAGAATGTTCCCCCGTCTTTTCATTTGTCTGCTAATGCAGGAAATAAAAGTGGAAAACTGTTTTCAGGTTCACATACATGAGAAACATGAGTGGCCAATCATGTTTCAAAAAGAACAAGTATTACACGTTTCTCAGTGAATCTCACCTTTAGGTTAAAAATGTGGCTTGATACAAATTTGCAACAAGTCAACAAGGGGCTCAAACTATCTACAAGTTGTATAAAAAATCAAGAAATAAAATAATGCACTTTAAATTTGTGAGAAAATTGCTAAATTACATCCATCCATCCATCCATCATCCACTTTCTTTACCCACTTTTCCAAGCAGGGTCATGGGGGGTCTGGTGCCTGTCTCCGGGAATCTTTGATCAACAAGCGAGGTACACTGTTGTGGTTATTAGTCAACGAATAATTTGTAAGCTTTTACTTACTTTTTGGATTCATCAATAAATTCGTAAATATGGAAATATTTACCGATTTATTAATTAATTAGGATATTAGGATATCCACGGGGCACCACCCCTTTAACAGGGGAACAATTAATCCACACCTCTTATCAATCTTGTCTAAACTTTCCGTGAAATTGTAACGAGCTGCAGTTAATTTTTATATCAACACAAACAAATCACCTGAGACAAAATCTTAATTGGCAATACATTTATTAACTAATATAATCACTTCAGCTCCTTCTGAAGCGTTTAGCCAATCAATATTAACCAACTGATTTTATCAAATGAATACAAACAATGAAACAATGAAATGATAATGTAAAACAATCTGACCCAATAAGTGTGTGTTTTAGTCTTGTCCCCTACCAACGCTAAAAGCAAGTGTGTGTGTGTGTGTGTGTGTGTGTGTGTGTGTGTGTGTGTGTGTGTGTGTGTGAGGTAACTTTTTCTTCACCACACTGAAAACCAGGGTGTGTGTGTGTGTGACTTTTCTTCTCAAATACAGACACACAGTGGGCTTAGCTTTCACCTTAACTCAATCACAGTAAACTTAACAAAACTTCAAAACCGCTTCACAAAGATCAATAAACAAAACAAACAGATCAATCAAAGGCAAATTAAATATCTAAATAGTTGTTAATGCTGTGGCCACAGCTTAACAACCCAGATATTACAATGAAAGAACATATCTTACTCTTAAGATGATTCAATGGTGTTTTTGGTATGGAGGAGAGCCCGGTGCTACTTTAAAGCAAATCGCACGGTTTGAAAGTTGTTGCCGGCGCTGATTTTTAATCTGCTTTTTCAGAGCGCAGATGACACAGTCTTTTGGAGAAATTACTGCATAGTAATTTTCTGATGAGGGCAGACCCTCAACAACACCCTAGACAGATTGCCAGCCCATCACAGGGCAATGCAGAGACGCACAGGACAAACAACCAAGCGCACACACACACAGCTATGGACAATCTTAGAGAGACCCATCAACCTGACAGTCATATTTTTGGACTGTGGGAGGAAGCCGGAGTACCCAGAGAGAACCCACACGTGCTCAGGGAGAACATGCAGAAAGACCCCAGGCTGGGATTTGAATCTGGAACCTTCTTGCTGCAAGGCAACAGCTCTAACCACTGCATCACTGTGCAGCCTGCTAAATTACATCAACCACTAATACTTTCATCTGAATATATCTATATTGCTTTTCCCAAATGGTTTTATCAGTGGACTTACAGAATGCTGTAACCTGCTTTATTTCCCAGCAAAACAGAACTGCTTATGGAGGTTTCAGGGCAGGTCACAGAGCATGCTTACTTTTCTCTGTTGAAGACAATGAAGTCTCTCTGGACGTTGTCCAATCGGCTCTGCAACAGCCCACTCTATGGGAGAGACAAAAACAGAAAAACATCAGCAACCAAGAAAATCACTTCATTTTTATACCGTATCCTCTGTGAGTGTGTGCCAAAAAATGAACAGACAAGAACATGAGAGGAAAAAAATGTACCGTATTTTTACGACCATAAGGCGCACCTAAAAGTCTTAAATTTTCTCCGAAATGTTCACCGTGCCCTATGGTGCGGTGCGCCTATTGTGTTGTTGTGAGACACGAACGTAGTAGAAGACAAGGGGCGTGGCGTGAACATGCAGAAGTGAGCGAAGACAGACCTGTGGATTAGCCACATCATCATCAACATCCTCGCTGTTTGCCTCAGACTCCTTCTGTGAGTCTCCGTCCACTTCCTCTGCTTCCAGTTCAAAAAACAGCTGAACTATCTGAACTGCCTGGTGGACATTTATCCTTCTCATCATCTTTATATAGACCTAATAAAAGCCTACAAAACTGCAGAGACAATATTTCTGTCCGGATCCCTCCAAAATATGAAGTTTACCGTCAATATCTGTCTAACTGTTTGTTGTTACTCCGTTCGCGCCACTCCTTTCCCCGCAAAGCGGCTCCTTTTTGCGCACATCTCGTTACTCGTGCGGCCTTCCTCTCTCTCTCAGCTACATAATGATACTTTTTATCAATTGAATATGTGAGACTTCCACCAACATCAAAAGGATCTCATGTTTTTGTGGGGTTTTTTATGTTCACAAGCACATTCCCTCTCACAGATTACTAAACTGCTGTTTTGACAAGTTGTTAGATTGTCTAAAAATAGGTCATTTTTTTAGTTTAGTAACTCTGCTTTTACGTTGCCTATTAACAAATTTTAAAAACTGGGGTGTAGTTTATAATCTCCTTTTTAAAGCTGAAATGAAACCGAAACTCAGGGAGGAGAATTGCTGCTACAGCATCCCAAATCAGACCTGATCTAAAGACGCGGATACGCGTCCATGGACCCCAGAGGGTTAATCAAACACAATTCAAATCACACTATTTTCTTAGGCCTATTAATAACACACATATGATTTTGTTCATGTGGAAAGTTTATGTAGTTAAATCCACCAACTACCGGTAAACACATTCTGAACTTCAACACCGCGCATCAGCGCTTGAAGCGGCGCTGCGAGCAGCTGCGACCCAAAAAGTGCCAGAACCGCTCACGGCGCATGCGCAATCATGCATCAACACTGCTCGCCCGCAATTTCTCTAATAACACACGTTGTTCGTTTTTATTTCTACATGTTTTTTTTACTCACAAAGATTGTCAAGAAAGCGTGCTTGTCGTGTTCATGTCAAATTAAACACACACAAAACATTGTCACAAAACACACATTTACTTTCTTTATTTCGTTTTCCTCATCCAACCCCCATAAATCCCTGTGTGTCCTCCTGCAGCACTTCCGGTGTACGCCCGGCTTTAGTAGGAGGGAGGCCCGCGATTATCGCTTTGTCGCGCATGTCTCATTGAAAATGAATGGAGGAGAGGCGAAGTTGCCTCCCGTGTGTCGAGCCCATTAGAAGAGCACGAGCCGTCAGCGCACGCAATGAGGAAGTGCACGTGCCTCTAAACCAGGTCTGAACCAGGACTAGTCTAGACCAGTAAAGTGATGCATGCTTTTGGGTGTTTATAATTTTCACAAGGTCTGGTTTGCACTGATATGTTACGAGTCCCGAGCCCGCACAGATGTTTTACCGGTACGTTTTACCGTGCCCCTGCCCGTGCCCTATAACCTGGTGCGCCTTTTGTATGTGTTAAATACCAAAAAGACACCGGTAGCTGAAGCTGCGCCCTATAACACGGTGCACCCTATGGTCGTGAAAATACGGTACTTTTCTTACCCCAACCTGAATGTAATTCCAAACTAATACCACTCCACAAATATCAAATCTATCCCCTGAGGGTCTTCAAAAAGGTCCTCACAATTTAGGATCCACCTTTGCCTTTGATTATTGGATCTTCCAAGAACACAGCTCTCATTCTCAATAAAATGATCAAACATGTAGCCCCACATGGGCAACTTCATCTCAAAGCTTAGTCAGACCAGCCTGTAAATGTAAAATATTGGATATTTTCCATCCCAGAGCTGTCAGTCACACGACCAAAGAAAGAAATTAGGTTTTTGCTCCTAAACACAATCGGCTAAAATAAGACAATTCAACAGAAAGAAGAGACTTAAAAGAAAACCGAAATAACTAATCTACAACAGACTGTAATAGCAGCTAGATATGTGGGCTTAAGAGTTAAAACTCACCTAAGAAAAGAGCAGAATGATATGGAAACTGAAGGAACAAACAGTGTTATGGGGATAATGAGACCATGACAACAGAAGTAGAGAACAGGAGGACAAAAACTTATGACGAATGTACGGGACTGCAGAACATTTGCCTAACATGAGACATTAAGGAGATGACATATGTGATGACACATTGGGTTTATATTTTGATGCTTCAAAGATGCATCAAGTCCTAGATGTAACACGTACACATGCGCGCACTCACCCACACACGCACGTACCTCATAAATGCACTTAGTTTTTACTTAAAGTGGTAATCTGGAGTTTTCTCCCTTTCAGGAATAATGTAGGATTTTCTTTTCTTTTTAGAAATCCGTAAAAGTGATAGTTTTACCTCTTACAGTGATATAATGTAGGCAATACATCTTTTTTTTACTAAGCCCGCCCACTGTCCCGTAGAGCCCAATGCAAATTAAATTTAGTGCCACTCCAAATTAGTGTAGCGTGATGAATTGTCCATTTCTGACCTAAAAGGCCCTGCTCTGTTTTGTTTTGCTCAAAGCAAAACCAGAAGTTTCTGACACAAACCTAATCTGCATGAGATATTGCTCAAGGTCTCATGCTCTGCTCCTAAACTGTTTCTTCCTTTCCAGCTTATGAGAAGAATGAAGACAAAGGACTCTTTCTTTTAATGAATCATAAGAACTCTAATTTTAATAAAGCTAATCAAACAAAGTGTTAGTCCAGTAATAAAATGTGAACCAATCTGTGAAATCAGTAGTATTTTAATAAGTAATATAACTTTAAATATTTCCACTAGACATTCTCATCCACGTAATGTTAAGTCACATGACACATTTCCTTTTTCTGATCCAATCAGAACCTTCCAGATCTGACGCGAGGCGTGGTTTTGTTGGTGCTTGGTAAAGTTGTCCTTTTTTGATTCAACCGTAAATCAAAACATCCAAATTATAAAACTATGCCCACGCCATCTTAACTTCAGTTCAAGCGTTCTAGAGATGTTGTCAGAGTGGCCAATCCGTAAACTTTCCTCTTCAGCCGAAAGAACCTAACGACAAGCTGGATTAAATCTGTTGCATGTTCCACCTGCTGCAACGGTTCCTTTCAGAATAAAAGCTGAACCATCACGACCCCCTTTCTGGGTCTCGCTAGATGCCAATAAACTGTCGTGACCTGGAAGTATCTCAAGACTGGTCTGGTCGGCAGCCGCTGCTCTTCTACCGGCTTCGGTGCCAGAGGAGGTCAAGCTGGACCTCGACATTCCTGATCTAACGGGGACTTCCACCAAGGGTATACCGACAGATGGCGTCTCAATGTGTGTTATAAATCTCCAAACCAAGCTTAGCACGAAACTTCATCTTCACTCCCATCAGAACTAATCGTTTCTCCGGATTTGCTGGTTCTGAACATTTCACACATACACCGTCCTCAGTCTTACTTCACCTTAGTTACACCATACACCTAGTGTTTAAAGTTAGTCTTGTTTAATTTGTTTAGTAATAAATCTTTAGACTTTTAAACCTGGCTCACTCTCTTTTCTTGAAGTTGATACGAAGTGTTGCTCAATCCCTGCAATAAAAAGATCTGATCTTGTGGTTAAATTTACTTAAAGATCCATGAAGGTGATATTTCATCTTTCAAGATATTTCACATTTTATGGTTTCTAATTAAATGTAGGAACATCTTCTCTACATTAGCCAATAGCGTTCCACATCTGCTGATGTACAAATGTCAATCATAGAGCATGCACTTGGATTTACTAATGCAAAGAGTACATTTTTCCCGAATGTAAAGGGTGCCATCTGACAAAAAAAAAAAAAAAACAGGAATCCTGGTTTAAAGCATTGACATTGGTTGGTAGTTGACTTGACGACATCAAAATACTGCGATGGAAAATAAAAATTTTAAATATGTCAACATTCAGACCAGGTTTTCCACTTTATTTTTATCCTCCATGGGCATCTTACGATTTTTTAAATCTCATTCTGATAAAAAAAAAGACAACGTTGCTGACAACATGTTCATTTACCAATTACCATACATTGTGCATGTATTTTAATCTTCTACATTTTGAGTCTTTTTGTTTTGGTGCTCAGTCTCTGCAAACTATTTGAAATCATCCTATAGCCCATTGAGGTATTATAAAAACCACCCAAAATAGTTGAGTAAAGCAGCTATCAACCACAACATTACATGAATATTTTTGGCTAATATTAGTTGATCATATTGCAGTTAAGTGGAAACTTCCATGTGGATCCTATGTTTGTTGTTGTTGTTGATTTTAAATAAATCAATTTTCAAGAAACCATTGTTTTGAACTTGCCACATACTCCAATTACTTCAGTCCTATATATCTTTGTCTCTTCTCCCTGATATATGGTAAAGACTTTACTATATAGACTCCTATATAGGGACTAATGACACACTCAGGATATCAGGCTGTAATTCCTGCCTAATCCCCTGCAGACAATCAAGCGTTTTTATATGAGAGAAAAGAAAATCACCATTTGGACAGGCGGATACATACGGAGGTAAAGAAGTCAACAGCTGAGGAAAAAAAATCAGAGGGATATATATATATTTTTTTGCTCATTAAAATATCCTTATTTTACATAGAGGGGGCGGGACTTAAAACACGTGCTTCAGCCACTAAGGGAATGTTTGTGTATATGTCGATGGACGCTGCAGTAAACTGTCTGGCGAGTAAATGGCCTGAGCCCTTTTTACTCTGAGATAATAAATGAGGGTTTGTTTGAAGAAAGCAGGAAGCTGCCAAAAAAGCTTCTGGCCTTGCCGATGGTTTTAGGTGTGGGCGCTTCAATATTGTTCTTCTCTTCCTGTTTCTTTGACTCTTTATTGGATGCATTTTAACAGACAGTTTAGAGGCTAATTGCTTTAAATCCTGGATTAATTTTTCCATTTAATGAGAAACCCAGAGAGTGCTTTGCTGGATGGAAGCCCAACAGCGACGTTTTTAGGGTTTTTGTCTCATGCAGACTTTTAAGGTGTGATACAGTTTTATTAAATAATTCTCATGAGTCATCCAACCTGTCCATGGATTAGAAAAATGCAAACAGTGCCAAGTATTTTCATTGAGTTTCCTGTGTCTTTTGTTTCAGTGGTTTTGTTTAAAGTTTAAGATCACAGCAGCTTCTTACACACCTGTCAAAACATTTGTAATCAGCTGGGCTCTCATTTATCAACCATACTTACGCACAGATCTGTGCACATGTTGTGCTTAGAAATGAATGTACGCATTGTGTGGTATTCATTATTTTGTATTTGTGTGTGAAAATGCTCCTGAACATATGAAAACCTAACACCATGTGTACGAACAGCACCTAGTGGTGGAACAGGTTTATGTAAATGACGGTCAACGGACACGAGCTCCTGCGTACGCACAGGTGGGATTTATCATCAGACGATTGCGGAGGGACATACGAGTGACCACGATAGTTGGATTTTGGCCCATCTGTACAAACATTCTAAATTTCGTTCATCGAAAGGAATACTGTATTTCTAATAAATGTGTGATGAATGTGTTTCTATCAAGAATCCTTTGTAAATTAGTTAAAATAAATAGTTATATTAAAATTAATACAGAAAAAATACATATATTGTTATACCTCATCACCCAAGACTAAAAAGACATTGTTACTAAATGTTTCTATAGGACCTTAACTGAAGCTGCTAGAATGATTTCCATCCCTGGAATAAGGGTCCAAGCTCTAATAATACCCTTAATATGAGTTCCCATGCCTCAAATCAAACTAGAAATCTAAATTATAGATTAAAAAATCCTTAAATGTAGTAAAACATCCACTACACTATTATGTTAAGAAATTCAGGTGTTACATGTTTAAATTGTGAAGATGCCAGCATACCGCTTTAACATTAGGTCAATAATAAACACAATCATCTCCTGTGATTTGGAGCGAGTAGCTGGTAGCCATGTTTTGTCATTATAAAAGGGTGAAGTGCCTATTTTGTTTTCACAGCACAACTTCAATTTTCCGCGGTGTATTATCAGTAATTTAATTGAGCTAATTTCATAGTACAGGCTGTAGCGGCAAAAGACAGGAGGAGGCAGAAAGAGATAAAAGCAGCAGGGAAAACGGATGAGGATGGGGAAAGTTTGCTGTAATAGGGTGAAGTCAGGACGACGTGGACAAAAAAAAACATTGCTGAGGGAGTCTCGGAACAAAGGAGAAAGGATGTAAAGGGAGAGATGTAAAACAGAAGACAGGAGGGATATGCAGAAGGAGCACAGAATAGCTGCAAGATGATGGGTAAAACGCACGATTTGACAATCGAGGACAACTTTCTTCATTCCGTATTGATCTGATATGCTTCAGCAGTCATGCGTACATCTCCATCTCTCTTCATGTGGACACAAAACACTCTTTCTTTCTTTGTCTCTCTTTTAAATCTATCCACCATAAGTGGTCCCACAGGCCCATGGTAAATGGATACTTTAAAGATTTCCACAAACACAAACTGATATTTATAGACAGCACAGCGAGTACCCTTTCTGAACGACAGAAACAAATATCAGCAAAAGCTGCACAACATAATGAAAGAAAAGGATGCTTGGGAAACTGCCAGAGAGAGGAGAGCTGCATGCAACATTATTAAAGATTGATATTAGAAGACCTTAGGCATAATGCTGGTCACCAGCTGGGGGGGGGGGGGGGGGGGGGGGGCATTACTCATATTGTAAAAGCAAATTTTAGTTTTTGCGTAGCTTAAACGAGACCAGAATTAATCCAAATCCTGCTAGTCTGCTCATTTCTTGTGGCTTCATTTGCTTCGATACACATGAAAAAGATATTTCTCTGGACGGCTACCATCATTATTCCATTAAAATAGAGACTCTCCTTGCTTGAATGGCCCAACGGATGACGACTGTTGTCTAGCTGCACCGTCTCAGCTGTCAGCTCTAATAAAATGTGCACTTTGTGTTAACTCAAGAGTTTTCCTTGTTTACTGTTACCAAAGAAAAAATTGACATTGCTTTTCTCAGGAACGATCCATTTCTGTACCTATACTCATATTTAGGGAATCAGCTTTTGCACACAATACTCAAGGTCTCCTGAATTACAGTTTGCTTTGGAAACAGTGGCAAGAATAGGCTGCAGCTGATGCAAAGCACAGAGAATTCCAGTTTCTATCAGAGCGTAGGTGGAATTTTTGCTCACAAACTAACATATCAATCATTTACAAAGGCATTTACCTGAGGGGATCCATCAGACCCCTGTTCTCTGGTCTTTCTTGCAAGCCTTTTCTTCTTCTTGTGCAGTGGTTTGGACTCCAGAATCATTTCCTCTAACTCAAACGTCGGGTCACAGTTTAGTCTCCGTCTCTTTGGAGAACAAAAAATAAAAGAAAATTTAAAAAAACAAGCCTTTCAACGTTAAAGCCAAATGAGAACTGTTTTTAAGTTGCAGGTGACATGAAATTAATGATGTTTCAGACTTATGTGTCAATACAGGAAAAGTATAACTAGAATCCTTTGACTTGAGAAGCAGGAAATTAGAATCCTCTTTTTTCAGTTTGCAGAAAAAAAATCTATGTTGAATCACAAAAAGTTAAGGAAAACAAAAGAGATTGCATCCTAGAAAATCAGGAAACTAAACATTATGTTATTTTCCCTCCAAGATCAAACCCTAATAGCCTCTAGGAAACCTAAAGCACAGAGTTGGTCTACAATGAGACAAAGGTACATTGTCAGTTCCTTATTGATCCTCTTCACTGTTCATTTCTTTTGCTGTAGCAGTCTGACCAATACAGAAAACTCACTGCTTTTAAATTGGAAGTTTATTTACAATTAGATGAAGTTATTTAAAACCCTAATTACCTAAAACAACCATCCATCCATCCATTTTCATCCACTTATCCGGAGTCAGGTCACGGGGGCAGTAGCCTAAGGCGAGAGGCCCAGACTTCCCTCTCCCCAGCCACTTGGGCCAGCTCCTCCGGGGAAATCCCAAGGTGTTCCCTGGCCAGGTGAGAGAAATAGTCCTTCCACCGTGTCCTGGGTCTGCCTTTAGGTCTCCTCCCGGTTGGACGTGCCCAGAAAACCTCACCAGGGAGGCATCCAGCAGGCATCCTGACCAGATGCCCGAGTCACCTCAACTGGCTCCTCTCGATGTGGAGGAGCAGCGGGTCTACTCCGAGCCCCTCCCGAATGACCGAGCTTCTCACCCTATCTCTAAGGGAGAGCCCAGCCACTCTTTGGAGAAAACTCATTTCGGTCGCTTATATCCGCGATCTGGTTCTTTCGGTCACTGTCCAAAGCTCATGGCAATAGGTGAGGGTAGGAATGTAGATCGACTGGTAAATCGAGAGCTTCGCCTTCTGACTTAGCTCTCTCTTCACCATGACAGTCCGGTACAACGCCTGCATCACTGCAGATGCAGCACCAATCCGCCTATCGATCTCACGCTCTAGTTTTCCCTCACTCGTGAACAAGACCCTGAGATACTTAAACTCCTCCACTTGGGGCAGGACCTCATCCCTGACCCGAAGAAGGCATTCTACCCTTTTCCGAATCAAGACCATGGTCTCAGATTTAGAGGAGCTGATTTTCATCCCAGCTGCTTCATACTCGACTGCAAACCGCTCCAGCAAAAGCTGAAGATCATGTTCTGATGAAGCCAACAGGACAACGTCATCTGCAAAAAGCAGAGACCTGATCCTCAGGCCACCAAGACGGATGCCCTCTATGACTTGGCTGTGCCTAGAAATCCTGTCCATAAAGGTTATGAACAGAATCGGTGACAAAGGGCATCCTTGGCGGAGTCCAACTCTCACTGGGAACGAGCCCGACTTACTGCCGGCAATGCGGACCAAGCTCTGACACCGGTCATACAGGGACCTAACAGCCCATATCAGAGGGCCTGGTACCCCATACTCCTGGAGTACCCCCCACAGGGCCCCCCGAGGGACGCGGTCAAACACCTTCTACAAATCCACAAAACACATGTAGACTGGTTGGGCAAATTCCCACGCACTCTCCAGGATCCCCCTAAGGGTATAGAGCTGGTCCAGTGTTCCACGGCCAGGACGAAAACCACATTACTCCTCCTGAATCTGAGGTTCAACAATTCGATGGACCCTCCTCTCCAGAACCCCTGAATAGACCTTACTAGGAAGGCTCAGGAGTGTGTTCCCCTGTAGTTGGAACACACCCTGCGGCCCCCCTTTTTAAATGAGGGGACCACCACCCCGGTCTGCCAGTCCAGTGGGACTGCCCCCGATATCCACGCGATATTGCAGAGCCGTGTCAGCCAACACAGCCCCACAACATCCAGAGCCTCAAGGAACTTCGGGCGAATCTCATCCACCCCTGGAGCCTTGCCACAGAGGAGCTTTTTAACCACCTCAGTGACCTCAGCATCAGAGATTTGAGAGGCCAACCCAAAGTCCCCAGACTCTGCTTCCTCACTGGAAGACGTGTCAGTGGGATTGAGGAGGTCTTCGAAGTATTCTGCCCACCGATCAACAACGTCCTGAGTAGTGGTCAGTAGCACACCGTTCCCACTATAGATAGTGTTGGTAGCGCACAGACCACAGTCAGAACCCATCCCCCCACACGTAGGCGGAGGGAGGCTACCCTCTCATTCACTGGGGTAAACCCCAACGTACAGGCACCAAGATGGGGGCAACTAGTATGCCCACCCCTGCTTGGCACCTCTCAGTGGGAGCAACTCCAGAGTGGTAGAAAGTCCAACCCCTCTCAAGGAAACTAGTTCCAGAGCCAGAGCCATGCGTTGAGGTGAGTCCGACTATATCTAGTCGGAACCTCTCAACCTCACAAACCAACTCAGGCTCCTTCCTCACCAGAGAGGTGACATTCCATGTGCCAAGAGCCAGCTTCTGTAGCCGAGGATCAGACCGCCAAGGTCCCCGCCCTTGACTACCACCCGTCACACACTGCACCCGACCCCTTTGGCCCCTCCCACGATTGGTGAGCCCAAGGGAAGGGGGACCCACATTTCCTCTTTGGGCTGTGCCCGACCGGGCTCCATGGGTAAAAGCCCGGCCACCAGGTGCTCGCCAACGTGCCCCACCTCCAGGCCTGGCTCCAGAGGGGGGCCCCGGTGACCCATGTCCGGGCGATGGAACCCGATTTCCATTTATATAATTCATCATAAGAGGTCTTCGGGTTGCTCTTTGTCTGATCCCTCACCTAAAACAACCACTCTAATGTAAATGACACTCAGAAGTTATAGACAAGCAGTGACTTCTTTTCTTCTAACCGTGCTGTTCCACAAGGTGTCTCCAACCCCAAACCCCTCCCATCATCCCAAAAAAAGTAGTTTCTGTGGGAATGCTGCACAGAGAGGACCAAGAGCACTCACCGAGAGACAATAATAAATATAAAACCTGAAGTTTTATAAAATTGTTAAGGAGCTAAACAGATACTCATGTTAATCATTGAGCATCCACCAAAAAAAACATTGGTCTCAATAGGGACCATTAAGGTGTGGTTAATTTGTTTAATCAGTACATATGCAGTGATCGGTAGTAAGAACAAATGCCTTGTAAATTGTACAAAAATCCCTGGTGCACGTTGATGTTTTATCTCCTCAAATAACACAAGCCTGAAGGAGTTCTGTGTGGTGGAGTTGCTAATGCTAACGTTAGCTTCTAGTCAAAAGGTTCTCTGCTGTTTCCTGGATGCTAAACCAACAACAGTCTTCCCCATCGTGAGTCAAGATGGTGAATCTATGAATGTTAAGTGACAGTGTGACGTAGATCTGTCAGGCTTTTCAAATCCTAGAGTTTCACTGTCTATTTTCTATCAGAAGCCAATGCAGGAGACAGGTGTAGGAGACTATTTTCATGTTTAGTCTGCATGAAAAACTCAGTGACTGATTATCATCAGAAATAAGATTAAAAAAACATTTCTTTTTCTGCGTTCTGCACCTTTAATGAAGAAACAGGACGGAAGTTGGCTGTGACCTTCTGGTACATGTCCTGTACCGTGTGTTACAACATCATTTTAAATTTTCCGTCAGAAGTTTTGTCATGATAGCTCCTAGAAATGCTCAAGAGGAGAAGTGCATTGCAGATTTTGGACATCATGATCAAATCGAGTGCACGTTTCCTAGATGGAAAGCAAAAGTGGCTTTCAGGTGCAACTTAGCCAAGTCATTACCACGGTAACAAGGGTAATAAGGAATTGCTTTGTAATGCTTGAACATTACAGTTCTCTCATGAAATTGTTTGAATAGAACTGGTTTACATGTATTCTGAGCTTTCATTACAGAGGCCTTCCTCCAAGCTATGTAAATAATTGTGGAAGCCAGGCTCTACGGGGCATTGAGCATCTTTATGAAAAGCAGCTTGACTCCTTGTTTAACAAAATTAGTACACAAAATGCATCATCTCAATCTGACTCGTCATAACCATCCAGAGACCACCCGCAGAGCTCCAAGTAGATGTCCTGGTAGTTTATCTGAGCTTTTCTGCATCTCAGAGTCGTGGCAACAAACTGTGCGTGCTATTCTGGAAACAATCAGTTTGGATTGTATAGACGCAGTCCAACCAGTCTTAGTACAATGCACAAGTTTAATATGTGTTCAGGTTATTTTCAGGAAATAGCAGGTTTAGCTTTGAATGCTGCAATTCAACCAAATCAGTAAGTGAGACGAGTGTAGTCGGTGGTTTTAAATAAAGCTGGTGTTTATACTCAATAGGAGATCCAACTCAACCTGGAAGGAGGTGGTGTTTACCACCTAACCAGAGAAAAGATTAGACGAGAAAGCTACATTCTGCTGAACCCACATCCTTTCATCCAACGTTAAGTAACTTCGAAAAAAACTGAGTACAGAAGAGCAGTAGAACACAGAATGGTGCTCATACTCCTCCGGTTCTGTTACAAATTTGGTTGATCTAAGAGGAATAAAATGTAGACTAAAGCGAGGCAGTCCATTTAGCAGCAATCTTTATTCAAACCTTTTGTTGTATAGCACATTGAGGCAAAACTTTATTTCTCCCGATACTCACATTGGGAATAAAGCCTGGAGAAAGCTGTTTGCTGAGCACAGCATCCCAGTTGACATCTGACACGTAGTCCAGATCCTGGAGCTCTGCGAGACAGGAGATGCGCTTCTGGACATCTATGCTCAACAGCTGAGAGGGAAAAAGCGATACGAGTAAAACACACGAGTCTACACAGTGGCACAAAAAAAAAGGTTAGGGAACCGAGTGAGATGCAGGCATATGTCTGCCCTGAGGATGAAGGGATGTGGAAGGTGGGGGAGGATGATAAAACAGAAAGGAGGACAAAACTAAAGGTGAAAAAAAAGAAGAAATTTAGAGGCAAATGATAGAGTTGGATTCAATGAGCGTTGAGGCCTGAGAAATTAAGGACGAATATATGAGGCAAGGCTTTCTCCCCTTCCACTCTCACTTTCTTTTTATCTCACTTATATCACACACACACTTAAACACACACACAAAATGGACAGACAACTGGAATACCAATGAGCACAGAGAAGTCTGAGCACGAAGCAATGCAACAGTTTGACTGCAGTGTATTTTCTGGCGACAAAACCAAATACCTAAACAGTGAATCGTTTGTCTTTGCAAGTGCCAAAAAGGAACAACTTATAGTGTTAGATTCTGAAATTACAGCTGACTAATAAGATTATAACAGAAACTAATATCCACTTAATTTTGAATATTTATGATCAAAATGATCGTTCCATACACCAAAGTCTTTGTGAAGGCTAGGCTAGTTTTGTAACGCAAACATAAAATAAGTTGGAACTTGGCAACTCTTCGACTTGATTAAGCAGAAAGTTTGGGAATATTGATCAAGTATTTGACTTTTGACCTTCAGAAACTATTTTCTTAAACTAGTAAATGTTTATTATGCAAATGTTATGGCACCAGGGTGGACACTCGACCACTAGGCCACTGAGATGGTTTTAAACCTCACTTATTCTCTATTTAGCTTCTCTTGCTTATTCATGGGAAAGTCATAGAAGTAAGGGGCAGAGGAAGGAAATCCCAACATCCCTCTTCCTAAGTCCGATTCACACAGCTTTTTGTTGACCGTTGTGGACAAACTTTTCATCATGAACAGAGTCGTGAAAAAAAAATAGTGAATGATTTGCAGGTTTGTGTCTGTCTAGTGTGACAAGTCCACTGAAAGCTTGTGGAGCACTCTTATGACCAAATCCAGCCTCCGGCTATTCTGAAATTGTGTCTGAAAATCTGCATCCCAGGTTGGCAATCGACCAATGAAAATAGACTCCAGGGAGTGATGCGAAAAACTAACGATGTAACACCGTTGACAACAATGACGGTTATATGTTGAGTATCTGTCGGCTTTTAGTGATGTGTGCTTTTTGTGGAGGTATGCTCGTATTGGCGAGCTCTTCTAGAGCAAGACATCATGCAGTTTGACTCATATTGGGATGTTTAGCATGCCACCTCTCTCGAGCGTGCACGGTGTGTCATGAAGCAGTTCTTTGCGACATCTGAAAATGTCAGTGTGAAACGGGCTTTAGCAGCACTTCCCTTATGCTGGTGGGGAATCCCTAGGCATTCCAAGACCATAGGGAATACATAATCCCTCCAGCTATCTCTGTTTCTGCCCTGGGGTCTCCTCTCTAGTGGGATGTGACTAGCAGGCATCCTAATTAAATACCTGAATCGTCTCAAGATGTGCCTAAGCACCCAACACAGGGATAACATTTCAGCAGTTTGTAACCAAAATCTTTCATACATGATCCAAATCTTATGAACCTCTTCAGTAATGAGGTTATTGCTCCAGTCTGTCATGGGGAAGATGGAGCTGAGCTGAAAGGCAATGCTCTTACTGATCCATCTACATTCTTACACCAGGTCCACACTGGAGGCATCAGCGATGCGGAACAATTAACTCGTCTGCTCCATGGTGAGTCGGTCCATCACAGGGAAGCCTCAGCCGCGGAGTGGCCCCTCCACCGTTCCCTCGAGACTTCAAAGGTCACAGTTTGTATATGTCCATCCAACATTAAACCAAAAACAAAAATTAAAAAAAGAGACGGAAACTACAGTGAAATCACTGTTTGATGCCATAATGTTGTTCCTCTCCTCTGCCAGGATTAAAACAATGAAAAACGTACTTTTGCACTTATCGAAGGATGCCAAGAGTAAGTAAGCCATTGAGTCACACGTATAGACGTAACCTACATGGATATCGCAGAGCTGCAATAGTCTTTTATTTAGAAAATTACCACACGTTTTACACTGAAACCATGTGTGAACCGTGCGGCTCACAGCTATCCCAACTTTAGCGGTGCAGCGAGCTGCTTCTGGGACACACCTGAGATGTTCGGCACTGCGGCCAGTTTGAACCAACCTTATAGATTAGAATGGATTTTATTTGAAAGGACGTTGCGCCGCCGTTCCGCACCGCTGATGCCTTCTGTGTGAACCTGGCTTTACTCTACCCAACAGCCATGTACAGACAGCAAATGTAGACCCAATGGTTTGACGTTCCCTTTTTTCTGATCAAATCTTGCACATTCACAATGAAAAAGGTCTGATTCACTTTTTAAATGCACGTCCTTTGAACCTGTTTTTATTTCAACATTCTGTATGTTTCACATCCTGACAACGTACCTTTCTGAGAAGAGACTTCATCTCCAAGGACCAGGCTGCTGGATAAGTGGGATGGATTTTATGGAACATCTGAAGAATCTCGTTAGATGGTGTATTAGACCGCATCACATATGGTCTCTGCAACAACAAGGAAGGAACAACATTCATTTATTTGTCAATAAATCATGTGTCTTTAGGCCTCTCCAACACTCGGCCCTTTCTCTTTCCTCTGGCCTGACCTGTTCTCCTTGTTTTCATCTTGCATGGATGCATTTTCTGCACTGATGAAGACAAATGCTAGAAATAAGGAAAAAGGGTGTCCCGCTAAAACAAAAAAAAAACTCTCTGATGAAGCCTTCTGTGTCTTTGCATTTAACAAAAAGATGTCTTGTGAATGTGCATTCCATTCCTGCAAAACATCAGATAATAGAAGTTATAATAGAAGTTATTTTGAATTTAAAGCATAACGTCTTGTTTTTATCACCACGCATTTCCAATCATTTACTCAGTTTTTATGGATAGACTTGACTGATTTGTTGGTCTTAAAGATTTATCGTTTGCATCTGCAGATTTTAGTCGGACATCTTACATTAAACCATCATCATTCAAGGGATTATTCAAGTTAGATATGGTGGGAAATTGAAAAAAAAAGACTTTAAACATTGAGAGGACAGAAGAGGATCTAAAATGGTTAAGACTGGATCACAGAATGGCAGGGTTTAACGACCTAAAACTGAATTTTCTTTCGTTCCTGGAGCTAAAAAGTGACAGAGAGAAATGTGTGAGGAAATCCACAAGAGACTGAAGGAGGTAGGGTGGAAGTAATTTGTTTGTGAGAAGATGATGGAGCTTTCGAGTTACATGTGAAAAACTGAGTGATAGGTAAACTTTCCCCAAAAACTTTATGCAATTTCCTGGTGAGAACATACATCTAACAGCACTCTCCTGGACAAGGGAAGGTCAAAAAGCACTTGAAAACTAAAGGACACTTTGTAGGATGCCAAAAAGGGAGGAAGGGCAAGAAAACTCAGTTAATGTAAAAAAAAAAAGCAAACTAGCTTTACATGATAATAGAAAAAAAGGAGAATGATAATGCAGCAGTTTGAACTGACTGCATGAAAGACACTCTTACCTGTCCTCTAAGTAGCTCATAGGCTGTAATCCCAAGTGACCACCAGTCGACAGAGAAGGAGTAGCCTGGGTGGGATCCTTCAAAGTTCTGAAATAGCTCCGGAGCTGAAAAATAAAATGCAAGGTGCTCAATAATAAACATTAAGTGACATTTTCTACGATGGCATATAGTTCTAGATAAAGTGATATTGGATAAATGAGAGAAGGTCACATTAAAAACAAAAATTCTCAAAATTTTTGAGTTTTCTTTTAATCATTTAAGTAGAAAAATAGTCTTAAATGTGGAAAAAGGACTTGATTTATGATGAAGCTTTGTAAAACGTTTTGTAAAACGTTTTGTAATAGGAAGTCAAATCTAAATGAGAAAATATCTCTAAAAGAGAATAAATAAAATGACTAAACTCATAAGTTTGTGAAATATTCCTGTAAATTTACCATCTACAAGGAACATTTTGAAATTGTTAGCATTTAATTTATTTTTTGCACAATTTTCTGATTTAACAATCCCAGTACATGTCTGTTTTAATTTATTTATTTTTTCAGGTAATTTATGACTTAATTCCCAGAAAATTTTACTTTTCATTTTAAATTTTGAACTGCCAATTAATCTTTATATTTGTTTATATGTAATTATATTTAATGTGTAATATTGGTTGTTGCAAATTTTTCAATTTTATCAAGAAATTTTTACTTTTTTCTTGAAAATGTAGGAATATGATATAAATATCTAATTAATCCTAAAATTTCTGAGGGTTTTCACAGAACTGTAGTCATTTCCTTATCTGTAAATGTCCTAAAACACTCTTGTCATTTTCATTTCTTTAATGTAAGCAGTTTTCATTGTGACGGGAGGGTTCATCTGCCAATGAGTAGATGAGACATAATTGACCAATTACTTAATTTGATGGCTGCATTGGTGGAATATGATTAGGTTAATTAAAGGTTAATTAAAATGAATAAACAAACAAGCAAAGCAGTCACATATTTTTGTGCACGACACAAGATATGTTTTAAGATTCAGCTACTCTGATGTTATCCCTTGTGTGCTGGTCAGATGTGCACGAATCAGATGTATATTTCATCTTTTTACAATAGGGGATGCAAACATTTTCATGCACCTTTGGAGACAGGAACAACCAAAAGTCTGCCAGTTGTTCCAACAATGTGGCCCCTTGGTAGGCTAAAGGCACATGCAGCTGTTATGCTCAGTTTTAGGGGTGCAAAGCCATTCATTTAAAAAGGTTTATTCTGAACATATCCAGGCGCTAATGTACTCAGTGCAAAAATGCTCACTTGGGAATTTTTTAAGATAAAACTGGAATTAATGTAAAACTGGCTTTATTAATCAAAAAATAGTCAAACTGAAAATTCTGGACATTTTAATGATCTAATAGTCTGAAAATCACTGATGACCTTTACAAGAGTAATGAACAAACATGGCAAACTGTTATTCAAACACTAAATGGAAGAAATTCTTTTGAAGATCAACTCTACTCATATTTCTAATACATTTGCAGTGGTCTCTATTAGGAATGAATGCCTTCTCCTTCTATGGGGAAAAAAGCTCTGGTGCACCTGTTTGAGGACATGGAGAAATTGGTAGAAGAAGGCAGAATTTGAAGCCTTATTTCCTGATATTTGGACATCTCACCTCTGATTGGCTAACAACCCCATGGCTCCACATTGACTCCATTTGCTTTGCAACGTTGACATTTTATCTCCACAAATAACACAAGCCTGAAGGGGTTCTGCTGTGTGTACTGTGAGTTGCTAATGCTACCAGTTAGCTTCTGCTAGTTGAGATGTTCTCTGCTGTTTCCTGGACGCTTTACCAACAACAGCCTTCCCTGTCTTGAGCCAAGATGGGCGAGTCCGTGAATGCTAATTGACAGTGTGATGTAGATCTGTCAGGCTTTTCATATCTTAGAGTTTCACCATCTATTTTTTTATCAGAAGCTAATGCATGAAACAGGGGTTGAAGATATTCACGTTCAGAACTCGGAGCGACTGATTTTCAAATAAGTAACAAATCGTTTATCAGTGAACCTGCTTTTTAAACCCCCTGAGGAATCTTTTTAATTGATTTTGATGAATTCAGGATCAAATTTAGCCTTCAAAAGCATTGGTTTAATATTTAATATACTCACCCATGTATGGCTTGGTGCCAGCAATGGATGTTGCTTTCAGGTCCTCCTTTACAATAGCTGCGATGTTGAAGTCTGTTAGATGGACATGTCCTGTAGTTAAAAAGATAAGGTTACTGCAGCTGAAATGAAAACAAAGCATGCTTTAATAGACACTTATATAATGCATTTTAATGTTTTATAGGTTTTTTTCTTCTGGAAACACATCAAAGCTTTGCATCTGTTGTCAGCATCTTGTTGGACTTTTAAATATCCAAAAGTGAGAATCGTGGTTTTTTTTTTTTTTTGGATAAACTGGTCAATTAAAAATTTAATGGGTGATTATCAATCAATGTTCAAGACTGTGAGGGAGGTATTTGGGTAACATCTGTAGTTTTCAAAGTCACTCAAATGACTTGCATGTCAACATGCTGCCAGATGGCACCGATCCTTGGCCATGCTTGCTGACCACACATAATAATGAACTAAATGTAGTACGTGTGCAAACTCTTCCATTAAAACAAATAGAGCAGGACTGCATGTTGCATAAGGTATGCTTGGATGAACGAGTGTCCCCGCTAACCCCTCAATCTGTATGATTGCATAAAGGTTGCTGAGATTGGTCCTTAAATATACAAGAGCTGTCAAAACAAATCTGCAAATAAAAGAAAACCTCATCCTTTCTCCATCTTTAACCTTTCCGTTCTTCATCGTGATTCCAACTCTGGTTGTCTACTGTCACTACACATTAGCAATAAACCAAAGCCACTAACTGGAGCAACAAACGGTAAGTTCATGCCTAATCGAGGAATGGGAATTTCAGTTTGCGTCACGATATTTTCTGGTCTGGTTTAGCAGAAATTGTGCGTTTCTGTCAAGAATCTTGGCGTGACCTTTGACCCAGCTCTCACCCTGGATTCTCATGTCAGTTCTCATGTTCGCTCTTCCTTCTTCCATCTCAGGAACATTGCTAAGCTGAGTCCCATTCTGTCCCGCTCTGAACTTGAGACAGTTCTCCACACCTTCATCTCATCATGCTTAAACTACTGTAACTCTCTTTTCACGTGTCTGAGCAGAACCTCCCTGAACTGTCTGCAGGTGGTTCAGAATGCCTGTGCTCGGCTTCTGACCAAGTCCTCCAAACACGCCCACATCACCCCGCTTCTCCTCCAGCTTCACTGGCTGCTAGTCAGCTTCAGGGTTCATTTCAAGATCCTGGTTCGGGTCTATAGCGCCTTACATGGACAAGCTGGCTTTTGTATGACCTTCTTCACCACTCCACCTATTCCACCTTCCTCAGGATCCACTGATTTCCCTCTTATCTATTGACTCTCTCTCTTTCTTTACATTTTTTAATCACAATTGTCAATTTTTTGCTCATTTGAAATATATATTTTAACCATTTTCTAAATTCTTTTTAATGTTTACATTTTTTTTGTTTGTTTTTGTGAAGCGCCTCGTGATTTTTATCTTGAGAGGCGCTATAGAAAAGATATTTTGTTCTTCTTCAAGCTCATGGCAGAGAGGCTAGACTCAGTCTGAGCCCTTTATACTCAGCCTCCTCAGGGGGTGTTGTTAAACAAAACAGCCCCACTTGGGGCATGAGTAAATTGGCTTTCTCTATATAAAGTCCCTCCCAGAGGAATATTAGATCACAGGTCAGATTTAGTTCTTAAATTTCATACATGCAGAAGTAACCCCCCCCCCCCCCCCCCCCCCCCCCATCCCTTCTGTTGCATTTCAGAGTTCAACACAGAGACAGACTTCAGGTCTTCTCAGAAAAGCCAAAGAGCATGGCGATGGGGAAAGGACACATACAGCCCACAGCTGACCATCTGTTGTCATTTGGAAGTCAGACTGATAACTTGCATTTTTTTTCATCATGTCTTCTTATTTGTTCTGTTTTTCCACCTTTTGACAAATATTTTAAGAAACGTTTGCTCACCACTTTTTGTATTTGTATTTCTCTTCCTGTCTGAGTGATTCTGTCTCCCTCTCAGCTAGCTGTCTTTGTTTGACAGCAGAACTTCCATAACCCCTGAGCTCCCCTAAGCAGATGTCCAGTGCCCTTTGGGATCTGGACTTTCGTTGGGTGTTTTCACATGTGTGCATAGTGTACAACACGCAATATACCCAGAAACCACACTGCTGGCTACCAAGGGAAGATTTTATATATATATATATATATATATATATATATATATATATATATATATATATATATATATATATGAATGCATACTTTAGCATATACATGATTAGGTTTAAACACAAATTAGAAAACTACTTAAAAAACTGAAACTGGAACATTTTCTGTGTGGTCAAAATGGACTACAAAACAAACATAACAGGCTGTGTACTATGGCAGGGGTGGGGAACCCTGGTCCTGGAGTGCCACTGTCCAACATGTTTTAGAGGTTACCCAGTTCAGTTGATTTACCAGTTCAGCAGCTCATCAGGTTATGTAGATTAAAATCAGGTGTGTTGAAGAAGGGTAACCTCTGAAACTTGCTAGGACCAGGGTTCCCTACCACTGGACAGTGGAATAGAAAGTGAGACGATGCAATGAAAAGCAATATGGTTAAACACCACAAAATGAGGCAGTTTAAAATGCTACTTGGTGTGATATGATCTGGTCTGATGTGATGCAAAACAGTGCAAAGATGTTCATACAATACAATTTGGTACAATATAATACAGAAGGGTACAATACAATGCTAACAATTAGCTGAGAAGTTCAATGCTGTCTCCTGGACGGGTGTCTAAACCTATGGTCTATTTTCTTTCAGAAGCTAATAGGTGTAGGAGACTTTGGCCTGCATAAGAGTGACTCAGAGACTCAAAGTAATTGATCGGTTTCCAAAACGATGTAAAAAAAATTAGTTTCTCAGTGAACTAGTTTCATTATTACGAAACCAAACAGACACTGTTCACATAATGCCAGTTTGTAGACCAGTGATGAGGGCCTATCTTGAAAAGGTTGAATTCTTGTAGAGGCTACTTGAAAACCATCAGCATGGCTGAATCATCTGATAGTTTGGAAGAACTTGTGCAGACTACACAGGTCTCTGCACAAAATCCTCCATCTGAAACGTTTTCATTATGCTGACATCACTATGGCCTCTGTTAATGAAGCTTAGAAAAGCCTCCAGCATGTTTGTGCTCATCGTTTGCACTTTCTTTTCAACAACATAAGGTATTCAGGCGTTTGGTCCAAACACAATGACTCGACATTCTGTTCTGCACATAAAGCAGTTAGTTTAGGTCTAGTCTGCAGCGAGTCACTGGGTCATAAAATGAAATGTTTTTAATTCATCTTATTTACATATTGATGAAAGATTTCACAGTCTATAATAATGCTGCATTGATTTACAATTGTTCTTTTCTCCTTCTCTAAAGTGAACACACACACACACACACACACACACACACACACACACACACACACTGCTTCATTGCTAATAGGTGCAACCTGTATTAGAGCTAACTCTACATCATCACTAGTCATCTTTTTAGTGAAGACACATAATACTTGCCTCCCCATTTTTCACACTTTTCACGCATCTTAAGTTCAGAAATAATATAATTACTCTAAATGGCACGTTGCTTCAAACTGACTAATTAATTTGAAAGAAAAGTAAGATTTTCTTTGTGCATGTCTTTGTTAGCTAGCATTTTTCCAAAATTACCATTTTACCATAAAATGAGTTGCAACTGTGAAGCTCACCTCTGAAGACAGTGACTTTTAGAAGGTGGATTTTTATTAGAATTCCTAGTCATTCTGTTTAAAATGACATGTAACACGGATTGTTTTTACAAAAATGAAAGGGATTCTTACCATGCTCATCGAGCAAAATGTTGTCAGGTTTGATGTCTCTGAAATAAGGAACACAGAAGCAGAAAAAATCAGTTTCTCTCCTTATTTTATTTTATTTTTATATCAGGATGTAATATATAAATACTTTGACTTGTGTTTATGTAGCATATATGACATTAAGAGCACAGTTTTCTTCATTTCACCAGCCAATAAACATGTGTGGGTGGTGATGTGATGGGTTTATAACTGTTGTTGATGGTAATTTTAATTTGCCTGGGCAGCTAGTTCACTTTTAATTCCTCAAATCTTTTCTTACCTGCTTTTAACAAAAGGAGTGTTATCAAAAATGGCACTTATGCTTCACTAAAAAGTGAAAATGCAGTAGTTTTTAATAATTCAGTTAAGCAAATGACAGAAATTCTGATATTAAAAACAAAACAAAAAAATCTTTATAATGTGTGTACAGAGGATGTATGGGAATCCAATAAATATCTAATAAACTGGAGGTGGAAAAGAAATCAGCAGGCTCATTTATGGGAGTACCGGGGAAACCTGAGAGGAGGAACTGGTGCTGACACCAACATAAACAAAGTGATGACCTCTGCTACTCATCATGGAACTGCTAAAGGTAGATTAAAAGAGGAAATGAATTTTTAACTATTACAGAGAGACAAAGACAGAATATTAAATCGGTCACACAAAGCTGGTGTCCTTGATGACGATGATCAAAGAATACTTTGTGGTCCCATGATGTTCTCTCTGGCCATGATTTAAATAGCTCATATATATATATATATACATGCTGTATATACACAAAAACTACTACATCTAGATTTTTTTATGACCACTGTGATTTTGAAGGACAGCATCGTGTCTTCTAGGCATGGAATGAACAAGATGTAAGATTATGTGACACATAAGGACACCGCCACCCCCATGCTTCACTGTAGGCATCATGCATTTCTCTTTGAAATCCTCACCTTTACTACACCATTCAGTTTTGAAATCATTAGTTCTAAAAACAGTGATCTTTGTCTCATCACTCCAGAGTCTAGAGTCCCAGTGGTCTTCATGTCTTTCCGCATGGGCCCTAGCAAATCCTAGGTGTGCATTTTTTTTGCATGGGCTTTAGGAGAGGTTTCCTTTGCGGACGATACCCATGCATGCCATTCCTCTGCCTCGTGCACGATATGATATCATGGGAAACAGTCGCTCCAGTTTGGCTTTCTACTGCTTTAGCTAACTGCAGTGAACTTGCATGGTGATTGTCTTCAACCCTCTCATCAGAAGACGTTCCTGTCGAGATGTTAACTGCTGTGGACGGCCTGGACGTCTCTGTAAGATGGTTGCACTTCCATCTTTTTTAAAATGTTGAGATAACTTTTGCTACAGTATTTTGACCGACTTTTAAAGCTTTGCTGATCTTCTTGTACCCCTCACCCTTTTTGTGTGAGGAAATGATTTCCTTTCTCAGATTTTGTGACATTTCTCTTCCACGTGGAGCCATTGCTGACAGCATGAAATGGGAAGGGCTTTTCTTTGTTACCTAATGCCCTTTTATAGTCACCTGTCTGCTGGATGCCTCTTAAATGAATCAGACTCGCCTGTGGATGAATGCCCTTTTAATTTGAATTTTGTAGTTTTAAGTGTGGCTTTTCTCCTAACACTATAATTGGGGTGTACTCATTTGTGCAACATGGGCTTGAATTCAATTCAATTCAATTCAAAAATACTTTATTATTCCCAGAGGGAAATTGATTGCTGTAGTAGCTCAGAATAAGAATAATAATCAAGTCATCAAAGAGTTATTGTATATTACAATGGCTGTTGGCAGGAAGGATCTCCAGTAGCGGTCAGTGTTGCAGCCAAACTGAAGAAGCCTTTGACTGAAGACACTCTTCCGTTGTCGGACAGTCTTGTGAAGAGAATGCTCAGGGTGGTCCATAATTTTCTTGATTCTCTGGAGAATCCTTCTTTGCGTTATCTCCTCCAGTGGTTCCACAGTCGTCCCCAGAACAGAACCAGCCTTTTTTATTAGGCTGTTGAACCTTTTCAGGTCCCTGCTTCTGATGCTGCTACCCCAACAGATGATGGCTGAAGAGATTACACTCTCAACAACAGACTTGTAGAAGATCTGCAGCATCTTGCTACAGACATTGAAGGATCTAAGCGTCCTCAAGAAGTGCAGTCTGCTGTTCCTTCTCCAGTCCAGTCTGTTGTCCAGGTGAACTCCAAGGTATTTGTATTCCACAACCACCTCCACTTCTTCTCCCATGATGGAAACAGTGTTTGACTCCACCCTGTTTCTTCTGAAGTCTAAAATCATCTCCTTTGTTTTGTTCACGTTCAAGGTCAGATGATTGTTTCCACACCATGCCACAAAGCGCTCCACCAGCTCTCTGTACTCAGCTTCCTGTCCATCTCTGATACACCCGACAACAGCACAGTCATCTGAGTACTTCTGTAGATGACAGGTCTCTATGATTTGTACTGGAAGTCTTAGGTGTACAGGGTGAAAAGGAATGGTGAGAGTACAGTCCCCTGTTGTGCTCCAATGTTACTGATCGTCTGGTTTGATGTGCAGTTCTTCAGCCTCACAAACTGTGGTGTTTGTCAGGTAGTCTTTAATCCAGGCGATAGTTGAGGCCCCCACCTGTGTCTTCTGGAGTTTCTGGCAAAGTACATCAGGCTGGATTGTGTTAATTGTGAATAATTCTAAGGAAACTAAAGGTTTTCTGACAAATGTAATGGGGTGTACTCACTTATGCTGAGCATTGTGTGTATATATGTTTATATCTATCTATCTATCTATATCTATCTATCTATCTATCTATCTATCTATCTATCTATCTATCTATCTATCTATCTATCTATCTATCTATCTATCTATCTATCATCTATCTATCATCTATCTATCAATCAATCTATCTATCTATCTATCTATCTATCTATCTATCTATCTATCTATCTATCTATCTATCTATCTATCTATCGATCGATATATATATATATATATATATATATATATATATATATATATATATATATATATATATATAGAGAGAGAGAGAGAGAGAGAGAGAGAGATAGATATAGATATATAGATATATGTATAAGTAGATATAGATATACATGTATAGATAGATATAGATATATTATGTATAGATAGATGTATGTATAGATAGATAGATATATGTGTATATATCTATCTATCTATCTATCTATCTATCTATCTATCTATATCTATATATATATATATATATATATATATCATCTATCTATCTATCGATCGATCGATATATATATATATATATATATATATATATAGAGAGAGAGAGAGAGAGAGAGAGAGATAGATATAGATATATAGATATATGTATAAGTAGATATAGATATACATGTATAGATAGATATAGATATATTATGTATAGATAGATGTATGTATAGATAGATAGATATATGTGTATCTATCTATCTATCTATCTATCTATCTATCTATCTATCTATCTATCTATCTATCTATCTATCTATCTATCTATATATATATATATATATATATATATATATATATATATACACACACACAGACACAGACACATGGAGGCTGCTTACAGACACATCATATTCTGGTAAGTAGCAGCCTCTCCAACCAGCATTTATTGATGCGGACTGAAATGAAAAGAGAGGAACAGAACAGAGTGTTCTTAGCTTCTCTCGGTCCTCTCGTCATCCTCACTCTTGGAAAAACCAAAGTTCTTTGGACTGGTGAGACAATAATCAATGTTCAGAGCTTTTCACAAACAGTTTGAAATTTACTTGATGTATAATTTTGAAATTGTGCTTAAAGTTGAGTCAGCGGCCGGATTAAGACCCAAGTTTTCTAATAAGATTAATTGATGTACTCAGTTTTAGAACTGATTTCTTCTAATTGCATTGACTCCCCTGTAGGAGCATGAACGTATTTAACAGATCAAAGGCAACAGAAAGTTGCCGGTGTACATTTGTGTTTTTGTGGCACACTGTTGCTGATGAGGACAACCTGTAGCATGGGAGTGGGGCGCTACAGCAGATCAACTAGTGCAAGTCTGTGAGAGGTTGAGAAAGGTTGGTCATGTAACACCTAATTGGCTGGCATTTGCTTCAAAAGAAAGTGGCAGGGACAAGAAAGTGTTACAGCTAAAAAAGCAAACAGCAAGTTAAAGTTAAAGAATTATAAAGAAGCCCTTTTCTTATCTAAAGGTCGTGGTGTCATTGTGAAGCTAAAGGGTCGGCAAATATGGCAAAGCAAAACGTGTCAACAGCAGGTGGTGCTTGGGAAATGATAGGCTGCCAAGGCAGAGGCAGTGATCATTATGATAAGTATTTTCAATCTGGACAGATTATGAGCAAGGTTGCATTTAGAGTGGCAGCAATATATTTGAGCTTTTAAAATGTAGGTTTATGGAGCTCTGGCTTACTCTGGTCTGCAGTAGCAGCACAAGAACTTTGTTATAAGGTCAACATTGTGACAACGTAAACTAAGACCTGACATCTACATTTTGACGTCTGATGCCAACTCAAAACTGGAGGCATCAGTGGCGTAGAATGGCAGCGGGACAGCACTGCGTCTATATGGTTGGGTTAAAAAAAGGAAACAGGAAACCACACACACAATTTCAGTGTAAAGCTTCTAGTAATTTTAAAAATAAAAAACTACACCAATGCATGTGACCTAACGGTTTATTTACTCCGAGCATATTTCCAGAAGTGCATTTTTCATGGCAGTGGAGAGGAACATCAAACAGCAATACCAAACGTGATCTCCTTTGTTTTGGTTTAATGGCGGATGGCATTAATAAACCGTAACCTTTGAATTCTATTTTGTGTTCTCACGTATTCGACGAGGAGGACAGTGGGGAAGCCACGCTTGGTGTGGATTGATGCGCCGCAAATCACGCGAGTAAACAGTTCTGCTGTCCTTCTGCGCTGCTAATGCCTCCAATGAGAAGTTGGTGTAAACCAGAAGTCCAGAGGAAGCCAATATTATAACACATGTTATAGCTGCAGTCAAAGGCTCATT